TCCTTCTGGAGAGTTGACTCCCCTCCTATTTGTAGGCTCCCTTTAGGTACTGAAAGGCTGCAATTAGCTCACCCTGCAGCCTTCTTTTCTCCAGGCTGAACAAGCCCTGCTCCCTCAGCCTGTCTTCATAGGAGAGGTGCTCCAATCCCCTGATCATCTTTGTGGCTCTCCTCTGGACGCTCTCAAACAGTTCTGTCTTTCTTGACCTGGGGGCCCAGACTTGGACACAGTATTCCAGATGGGGCCTCACAAGAGCAGAGTAGAGGGGGATAATCACCTTCCTTTCATTGCTGGTCACCCCTCTTCAGATGGAGTCCAGGATACCATTTGCTTTCTGAGCTGCAAGAGCACAGTGCTGGCTCATGTTAAGCTTTTCATCCATTAGGACCCCCAGGTCCTTCTCTGCAGGGCTGCTCTCAAGGACCGCTCCTTCCAGTCTGTATAGATGCCTGGGGTTCCTCAGTCCCAAGTGCAAAACCCTGCACTTTGCTATATTGAACCTCATTAGGTTTACCTGGGCCCACCTTTTGTGTCTGTTGAGGTCCCACTGAATGGCATCCCTTCCTTCGGCTGTGTCAGCCACACCACTCAGCAGTTGCTGAGGATGTACTCAATTATGTCATCATTGTCATTGATAAAGATGTTAAAGAGCACCAGTCCCAAGACAGCCCCTGGGGGTGCCATTCGTTACCCGCTTCCACCTGGACACAGAACCATTGATCACCACCCTCTGTCTGCAGCCTTTTAACCAATTCCTTATCCGTTGAGTGGTCCACCCATCAAATCCACATCCCTCCAATCTGGAGATAAGGATGTGATGGGGGACCATGTCAAAGGCCTTGCTCAAGTCCAGGTAAATGACATCAGTCACCTTTCCCTTGTGCACCAATGCTGTCACTCCATCATAGAAGGCCACCAGATTGGTTAAGCATGACCTTCCTCTGGTGAAGCCATGCTGGCTGTCTTGGATCACACGCTCATTCCTCATGTGATCAAGCATGTCGTCCAGGAAGATCTGTTCCGTGATCTTCCCAGGCACAGAAGTGAGACTCACCCAGGCACTGTAGTTCCCGGGGTCCTCCTTGCTCCCTTTCTTGTAAATGGGAGTGATGTGACCCTTCCTCCAGTCATCCAGGACCTCACCTGACAGCCACAACTTTTCAAATATGATAGAGAGCAGCTTGACAACCACCTCACTCAGCTCCTTCCGAACCCTGGGATGCACGCCATATGACCTCATAGACTTGTACATATTCAGTCTCATGAGGTGGTCTCGGATTTGCTCTGCCCTTACAGTGCCCCCCCATGGGGATTTACCATCTCAGACCCTACCCAGAGGTGTAGGGATGCAGGGCTCAGGGACATGAGAAGTACTGGAATCCTGGCTGCCAGTGAAGACCGAGGCAAAGAACTCATTCAGTACCTCAGTCTTCTCTTTGTCCGTTGAAATCAGTTCTCCTTTTACATTTACCAAAGGAGGTACACTCGCTTTGGCCTGTCTCTTCTGGCCAATGTACCTGTAGAAAGTCTTCCTATTGTTTTTCGTGTCCCTCACCAAGTTCAGTTCTGCCTGTGCCATGGCTTTCCTGATCCCACATCTGCAAGTCCGAACAGCATCCCTGTATTCTTCCCAGGTGACACACCCTTGTTTCCAGAGCTTGTATGCACCTTTCTTTGCCGTCAGTGTGCCAAGCAGGTCCTTGCTGAGCCATGTCAGTTTCCTACCTCCTCTGCCTGCTTTCTTGTTCAGAGGGACAGAGAGCTCTTGTGCTCTCAGGAAGGCATCCTTGATTCTTTATCCTTTAATTCCCATATACATTGTGGTATAGCTTATTTCAGCCTACTGATGTCAGTAATTGTAGCTAGATTAAGAAAAAAGAAGTTTTAGTCCTAGTAAATTCATGCACTTCTCCCATTAAAATATTAATAATTATAAAAATCTGCTTTCCTGACTTTAGATTTTCATATTAAATTAGGGTAGCTGACTATTTTCTGAATATTTTCAGAAATATATTCAGTATTTTAGTTTATTTTTTCCATAAACACTCCTTTCTAAGTTAAGTACAAATAGCTATACTTAGCAAAGGCAGTTAAGAAAACTTGCTTTACTAGCCATGGTAATGATCTCTGGAATAATTGCTGCTGCTGGTTTCCTAGTGGTATTAGTCATCAGCATATAAAGGTTAGCTAAAAGAATGACCTAGAGAAGATGGGATTTGGATCTACTAGTAATGTGAAATTTTTGAGCCCCTCACTACAAGAAAGATCCTGAGTTACTAGAATGCTTGCAAAGAAGAGCAACAAAGCTGGTGAAGAGTCTAGAAAACTAGACATACAAGATTAGGGAACAGGGCTGTTTAGTCTGGAGAAAAGGAGACTAGGGGAAGACCTCTTAGATCTCTACAACTACCTGAAAGGAGGTTGCAGCAAGGTGGATGCTGGTCTTTTCTCAAGTGACAAGTGATGGGGTGCAAGGAAATGGCCTCTGGTTGTGCCAGAAAAAAAGTTAGACTGGATATCAGGAAGTTTTTTCACAGAAAGAATAGTGAGGCATTAGAACAATCTGTCTGATGGAAGTGGTGGAGTCACCGTTCGTGGAGGTATCTAAGAGATGTGTGGATGAAGCACTTAAGGATGTGGTTTAGGGGTGGGTTTCTAGTGTTAAATTGATGGTTGGACTTCATGATCTTAAGGTTTTTTCCAACCTGAAAGATTCTAGGGTTGTCTTTTTAATTTATGATTCAAACTACAGTACACATACACTTGCCTTAGAAGAACTGAAGCTGGTACATAGCTCAGAGCAGAAGTAAAGCCCTATCTCAAACTACACAGTGACATAAGAAAAGTTATAAGCCTCACCAAGATCCACAGATATTTAAGGATCCAAAATATCTGCTCATTCAAGTCTTACGAAATATGTAAAGTGATCACAATCACTGATGTTTCAATTGTGTCTGTGTGAGGTCATCTTGTGCAAGCAGTCCTAGGTGTATCATATTTGTATCAGCTTCATCTTTGTTACCTGTATCTTGAACAGGAATGCTACAGATATTGCCATTTTCAGTTAGCAGTCATCTTGTTAACAGTGTATAAGCCAATAATTCTTTACTCTATCTGCTATCTGCTTACTGCTATCATCACCTTGCTCTGATGCTCTAGCTGTGCATTCTGGTCAGTGAGGACATCACCTCTGCCTATATTGGGGTTATCCCTGGCTGCAGGCTGGTCTTCACTTACAAAGCTGCTCCAGTGTTGCTGTTCCTGGCTTTATGTTCTCTATCAGCTGGAAAGATTCAGACAAATTCTCTCATAATCTATCCAATTAAGTATTCCTGTCAAGACATGCATTCTGAATGTCATATAAGCTCCAATGAGTTTCACACAATGATATATATATATCCATTTATATATATATATAATAGATAGATATAGATTTTCATTTTTTGTTATATGGTTCTCCAGCGTGTAGAAAATTCAAGGATAATCATTAGAATACTTAAGATCTGGACAGTAACCACATGGAAAGAAGAAAAATTTGAGACTGTAAGATTCAGTTCTTAATTCCAACTGCACAGAGCCAGTGTTCACACACTGGGAACCTAAAACTCATTTATTTGGAATAAGATGCATCTGACAACAGCAAACTAAATGTAAGGTTTACAATAGGTAAAAGAACTTTAAACCAAACATAATGGAAGAACACTCAAAAGTATCAAAAGCAAACTTATTAGCATCACCTCACTAATAAAAAAAAAAACAAAACCTGACTATAAGCATAGTCAGTAAAGGGACAAATTTACCTCTAGAGAGGGATTCAAGACAAAAACCTAAATTAGGGTTCTGACAAATTAGGTTAGGATCAATTGTAATGATTCTCTTTTGCAGACATTCCCACTACTGCTACAGGAACAGCTAGAATGGTGATGGCCATTAAAGGTTGTGGCTCGAGTGAAGAAAGAAATCAAACTCAGTGCTAACTTACTTTAAAAGGTGGGCTGTAAAAAGAAGCATGAATCTTTCACAGGAACCTTTCAAGACATAAAGAGTATCTGGACAAAAAATATAAATAAGTAAACCAGCATTTCCATGCTGCTATGTGAAAAAAAAGAACTTTAAAGACAACCCAGGGCAATTGTGCTTGTTTCTTTTTGTGGTAAGAACAGCAATGAAATACAGGCATGAGCTACATTTGAAAAATTTTGTTGAGAACCTGGGAAAATCTTGGTTTATGTTGAAAAATAAAACATTTTAAGTACTGGGTTTTTTTTTAAATTATTATTCTATTTTTAAAAAGTTTGAAATACATAAGTATATATGTTGCCCTAAAAAAACTAGAGCATCACAGCCCTGGAAACCTTGTATTTGTTCCTTGTAAAGAGATAAAGCATTCTCCATAGTCTTTGTCTTCTTCAGAATACTAGAAAAAGCTAACATTTGATCCAGATACTAGAGTAAGCCAAACTTCATGCAGTAAGTAAACAGAGTGTGGATTAGAGACAAGAACCTCTAAAGCAGTCTTTATTTATTTATTTTTTTTTCCCTTTGGTTTAATATTTAAGAGGTTCTATCCACTATAAGATCAGATTTGTACCTGGTCAGCTGGATGCCTCTGAGAAATTAAACATCATTTTAGCTTCATTGACGCTCCAGCCAGCATTCTTTACATTTGCTATCTGAATCAGCTGTACTGTCATACCAATTGTACTTCATTTACACAACATTGCTACACATGCTTCATTTTATACTCATTTAACACTGTAAAATTACTCTTGGGTCAAAGCATCTCACCAGCACAGAGGAGAGGAGTAGGATCACTTCTTTTGACCTGCTGGCCATGCTGCTTTTGATACAGCCTGAGATATGGTTGGCTTTAACTGGGCTACAAGAGTACATTACTGCCTCTTGTCCAGCTTACCATCTGTTAGTACTCCCAAGTCCATTTCAGCAGGGCTGTGCTCTATTCTTTTATACCCCAGCTTGTATTGATAGCGGGGATTACCACAACCCAGGTGCAAGACCATATACTTGGCTTTGTTGAACCTTGTAAGATTCACCTGGGTCCACTGTTTGAGTCTCTCTGAACGGCATCCTATTCCTCGGGTGTGCAGATCACACCACACAGCTTACTGTCATCCACAAATTTGCTGAGCATGGACTTGATCCCACTGTAGTTGATGATGAAGATATGAAATAGCACCGGTCAGGCTCGTGAGTGGCATCAGCCTTCACTCCATCCAGGTATTGAGCCACTGACCAACTCTCTCCAAGCATGATTTTACAACCAGCAGGAGCTGTGCCTCACCACTAGCTTGATATCAGGGCTTTTAGTGTTGCCACCCCATTACATATGGTTCTATCGGGAGTCCTTGCTTCTGCTCAGGAGTTGCCCGTCTACTGCCACCCCCTGCTTGGCCGAGTGGCTAAGATAGGTCTCTCAGATAGCCCCACGGCTTCTGGGCCACGCTTTCCCCGTAACTGGTGCCGCAGCTGGCTTTGATTAGCTAGCTGGCTGGCCCCGCTGCCCGCACAAGGCTTGCTGCTGGGCGGGGCAGTAGTAACAAGGCCGCGCCTGGCTGTGGTGGGCTGGATGTGCTTCAGCTGCCCAGCCGGCAGGAACGCGGTGGGCATGGAGGAGGAACGAATGCTGAAAGGGGCAGGTAAGGGTAGAGAGCTTCAGGAATACAGCGCCAGCTCATGGTAATCACCGGAGAGAAGGCACCCGACAATGAACCTAACGAGCAGCCCCAGGAAAAAATAACAGCCCCGTCGGCTCCTTCTCCGGGCTCTTATCTGAGCAGTAATCCCACCAAACCTGGACCAGTACTTGCAAAACGGATGATAAGAGCCCTTGCCCCTGGGATGGCTGCTATCTTATTCCGTGTGCTGTCTCGAGGCTATGGGCTGCTCAGTGTCTATGTGTGGCCTTGGAGTCACAGGGCTTGTAAAAGTACAGGGCAAACTGGTGAGGAGGCTGAGGCTGCTAACTTCCCTTTATATCTCCGCGGTGTGATCCTGCTACCTCGGAGTTTCCAGGCTGGTGGTTCTTAAGTCCCCAGTTCTCTTCCTCTTTGTCTGGGTTGCATGGATGTCTCTGTAAAGTTTACGGTTTTCCCTGCATGTCTGAGTTGCTTTGCACCAAATGCTCAAAGCAGCCTTAAAAATCTTGGTGTCACTGTGCAAATGCTTACCTTGTTCTAGGAACTCTGAGGAAGTGATTGCAAGAAGAAAAGGACAATTTTGCTTCTTGTTCATGCAACTTCAGACTTTCTGGACTCCACTAGTATGATCTACCTATTCACTTAAGATCTCTTATTTCAGATTATTTATCCAAAAAATGTGATGTTGTGATGTTAAATCAGGTCTCTTGCAGTACCAATGATGAAAAGAGAGCGCTGGCAACTCTGTGGTTGTTACTGTGAAGGTCTATCTTTCCCCCCCCCCCCCCCCCCCAAGTTTTACTTTCATTTCAGGTATCTTCTTGTCAATACCAACTTTTGAGTTGTTAGGTCTTTGCTTTGTGTCTAAGAAATAGAGGTGGCAGATTTTGTTTTTTGATGAAAGGATTATTCCTGCAGGTGGTGCAAAAATCCCTGCTTTTGATCTGTCTCTACTAAGGATACAAGGAATGGGTACATGACTTCAAAATAGGTTTTGTGATTTAAATGCATACTAGTGCATAAATAAAGGTAAAAATTAGTTGGAAGTGTCTCTAAGTCATGAAGCTGAAAGTATTATTTCTAATTTGAAGCACAGTATGACAGGATGAATGACGTGAAAATACTAGTTTTATCATGTAATAAGCAAGAACAGGACTGAAACAAGATAAAGCAGGAAGGACAGTGGAAAAGGGAATTACATAGCATATGTATACATAGCTTTTCCCTCCCTTAGTTCTTGGCCCCTCCCATCTGGGTATTTAATCTCATGTAACAGCAAATAAACTTGTTGCTTAACAAGATCGTATCATAATAGGTACATAGTGTTTTGCAACTGTCTTTTTCCTATAATACTGATTCAGTTATCTTAATCCTATAAAAAGGCAAATTGAGAGGTCTTGGAAGCAGTCTGATGTCCATTTGTACTTCTTTGAATGCTGACCTAACTGACTGATGTTGTGAGTTTCCTACTCAATTAACAATTGTTTAAGAAAGAGGCTTTGGATCAGAAAGCAAGTTCTTTATTTTGACATTGTATTGTGCTATTATAAGTAAAAAGTAGGATAGAGTGAAATGTTTTTGTTTTGTTTTTTTTTTTTTTTAATGCTTTGCTCTCCAATTAAATTGCCACATATTCTCTGTAGACACTTACAATTGAAATGCTGCCAGCAATTGGCTCAAATCATCCTCTTTCCAGAAAGAACCAGAAATACAGTTCTAATTTTTTTTTTATTCTACTTTCTACTCTTGAGTAATAGCCACCCCTTAAAAACGAACAAAACAAAACACCCACCTGTAAGTCACACTGAATTCTACATGCATTCTGAGAAACTCAGTAAGATTATTTTGGTTTGAAAATGTACGTTGCAGCTGGAAAAGAACAAATTTTATTTCTTGTTCATTGGTAAATTAATGGTTGACCATTTTATTTCCCTTGCTTAACTATCTTCTACTATTTGATATCTGTTAGCATAATGCAGTTGCTGCTTTTTATTGAACTTAGTTGGACTTAATCTATTTTTGTTTTCTGGTACCTTCTTCATTGCCCATCCTTACATCTGTTATTCATTACTGTTGTGTCTGAAGCTGAAGAAAGTTATGTCAGTTAATAAATGTTCATACAACTTGTTTGTTTGTTTTAATTTTGATCAATTTCAGTATGATACAAACAGAAACCTCTATAATGTGGTGCTATTTGTCAGATAATCACTGCTGACAGAATAGACCAGAGTCTCGCTTTCATTTGTCTTTGGCTTATTTTTGTAAGGAGTCATTTGGTGTCTTGATATATCATAGATTTTTTTATTATGTTCTTTATTCCAAAGGCCTCTGTTATTCACAGTGCTGTTTTCCTTAAAAGTACTACTGTTAGTTATCTGCAGCTTTCTCTCAATTTTTTTTTTTTTTTTTTTTTTTTTTTTTGTGTGTACTTAGTATTAATTACTCCTATAGTTTGCAGTTGACTGTTTTTGCTGACACTTTTTCTCTCAAGACGAGGCTTTTCTAAGATCAGTTGTTTAAATATCTCTATGTTGACTATATTGTATTCTTTTTTCTTTTTCTATCCTGGTCAGTCTTATTTTGAACTCTCAAAGTATGTTTGTCTTTTTTTCCACTGTTAATTTTTAGTGCAGTGTTTTCCCCTTTTCCATGACTGAAACTTATCTTGGTACACCTGGGTAAGAAAGCATACATATGAGTCAGTCTGGGAAACGCTTTTTTTTTCTTCCTTGTAGAGTGTAAAGACAGCAAGGAGGGCTTATCACTGAACACTGAGCACTTTATGATTGATGCTGATCCTCTTGGTGGACACAGTACGGGGAGTAATGCGCTAGTTGCATTCCAACTTGCAACTATAAAAGAAGTTGGGGATACCCTGGAAATAGAAGATAGGACCAGCCTTGTGAAGGAGGAAGATAGCGGTTACTGCATGCTGCAGGCCACTGGATCAACTTCTCAGGACTCAACAGCCCTTCCATTCAACCTTGCCTCAGTGTGTGTACAGTTGTCAGATTTCTTCAGCAACATAAATTCTGTGCCTTCTCTTCCTGTTGTTATGTTTGCACAGGCACCCACAGATAATTCAGGGTCACTCAAACAGCGTGAAGGTTATTACTCTGATGTGACTGAAAATGTGGCAAAGAAAAATAATAATTGCATAAGTGGAACGTGTGCTGAGAAGGTACCTGGTGTAATCTCTGGAGATTTCTGCAGGCTAGCACTGTTAGAGGATGTATATGGCCCAACTACTTGCAGGTCAGTGCTCTGCACTTCAGCCAGTATTATAGGTCAGCAGTCCTACACGGCATCTTCATTCCTGAAATCTGGAAGTAGTCATGGTGAGAACAAGCAGAAAGAGGATTTATGTGAGGATCCAGAAATTCTACTGCCAGTCAAGAAGAAGACACGCACCTTCTATAGCGCAGGTAGGTAACGGGGAACCCAGTGGCAGGCAGTGATACTTGTAGCGATAATAGCACTAATGTTTCTTCCATCATCCTGAAGGCACAGCATGGAGGTGCTGAACTGCTCTAAATAGTATTTGCAATGCATTTTGCAGTACTAGAGGTGTGAGAACTTATTCAGTTAAAAGTTGCCAAGTCTTTGTGCTTGAAATATTGCTAGCAATAATATATATTTTACTGTGGAAGGAGACGTTTGCTTATTTCTGTGGTTTGCTTTTAAGAAAATACCACCTGCGTTGCTCATATATTGCTAACTATGTAAAAAATTTGTTTAACGTTTTTTTTGTTTTTGAAATTGTTGTTTGTCTTCTCCTCGCATGCTTTCCATCTCTCTCTGTATTGTTTCTAGAGCAGCTAGAAGAGTTGGAGAAGGTGTTCCAGGAAGATCACTACCCTGACAATGAAAAGAGGAGGGCAATTGCAGCTGTAGTTGGGGTGACACCACAGCGTATCATGGTAATGCCTGTGTGGGTAACAGTGGCTTATGGGATCTGTGCCAGAAAAGTGTCAGGAGGAGGAAGTGAAGTAGGGAGGAGTTAATCTTGCAGATGCTCTGTGGAAGAAAGTTTCTTCAAGAGTTCTGGATTCATCTGGGCAAGCATGGAAGCAGTCATTGCTGTTTCTTTGCCTGTGTTCCTGTGTGTAAATCATTTTCCATCTGAATGTTTCTTTCTATTGATCAGGTGTGGTTTCAGAATCGCAGAGCAAAGTGGCGAAAAACAGAGAAGTCGAATGTCAAAGGCAGCAAAAAATACTCAACGTCAGCAGCTCTGGCAGTCCATTCTGGGTCAGACATTTGTGGGTGAGGGACTTGCTCTGTTTACTCATTTCTCCGCAATAGATACCTAAATAATTAAGTCTTCACATATTACTTTTGACCTTCATTTTTAAGCCATGAAGAATTGATCATTGAGATGAAGGTTTATTGCACTTCTTTTTTTTCCAGCCAGTCAGATTTCTGGCAAATTGTTGTAGTCCATCCTCTTAAGAGCTTTTGGGCACAGTGTAGCATTGTTTTACTGAAACCATGCAGAGAGCAGATTTGAATAGAAAGGATAAACAAAATCACTCCTTCATTTTTATTTTCTTTTTATCTGCTGTTTAGGCCCTTTGTGTGCACACAGGAAGCTTTTTATTCCAGACCTCCTTCCACCATCACTTAACATTTTCATAAGTTTGTCACTTGGTGATGGAAAAGCTGCTTGCATGTAACGATATCATGGAGATATTGCTATTCTCTGAAGAAATGAAAAACAGCATGTTTCAGAGATGAGCGGGGAACAGAAGGAAAAAGGAATAAGTGAGAAGATATGTAGTCTGTCAAGAGAAGAGAAGGTGGGGGGAGAAGAGATTAAGTCTCCAGAGGAGTTTATGGCAATCTGGAGCGAGAATCTTGTTCTTAAAAAGACTGAATAAAAAGAGAATCATTAAGTGACAGATAGGAGACCACCTGATGGACTTCACTGCACTGTCTCTGCTACTTGTCCTTTCCACACAAGTAGTCTGAGACTGCTTCCTCAAATATTGGTTGATAATGTCCCTTGCACTCATAAGTAAGACAGTGTTTACTGATCTAATGATCTAGGATCTACCTGTTGTAGGATAGTTTAAGAAGTGTGTATTTTGTGATAATGTCTTGCATTGTGTTCCAATTCAAGTTCATACCTTTTATGTACAACTCCAGGGCACCTCTTCTGCCAATGCCTCCATTGCCTGATCAGTCTGCCATATTAAGTGTAGACACTACAACTAGGAACTGCTCCAGCAGGCTCAGTGAGCATTCTGCATTGCTTGCTTCCTCCTCAGGTGAGACCCATAGCAGTGCAAACCTTATTTTTGTTATTTTTGGTGATGTTGACAGGCTCTCAGATGCTTCAGGGAGGTCATGTTAGAGTTCAATCGCATCAGTACAAAAAGTGATATCAGATTTAGCAGTTCCCTTCTAATCACGTTAATGGCTATGTTGGATGATGCCTCTGTGCTAGCACTAGAGCTAAATTTACTGCTCCTATTCATTCATGTCATACCACAGCCCAGCAAGGAATTCTGAACATGAGTTCATGAGGATATGTGGTTGAGACGTTCTGCTGTTATAGCTGAATGATAACTGTTGCAACTGGAGGTTCTTCTCCACATAATAGCCAGAATAATAGTTTTGTCATCATGTGCTCTTTGGAGCAAAAGTACAAATCCGCCTGTATTGAGCCATTTCTTTCTGGAGAATCTGCACATTGGGATCCAATTCTTCGTATGGAAAAAAAAATCAAGATAAAGATTTATAGGTTTTTACTCCCCAGATCTTGATGTTGTATGTAAATCTAGCTTTTATGCAATATGTACTTCCTTTACTTGTCTGAAACTCCAGTATCCTTAGTATTAAGGATGTGTGAAAGTGAATTGTTTGTTCTCTTTAAAACAAGCTAAGCAAACAGTATTAAAGTCTGTTTGTCATCTAAAGCTGGTAAATATTTTCCAAATAAATATCTGTATGACAACGATATTAACATTTCTAAATTACTTTGCAGAAAAGAGGCATATTTTGCTAGTGAGCATAAGTTGTGAAGTAATTTATTTATTATTATTATTACTATTGTTTATCCTGGTTTCCTGAGGAGAGGGAGGAGTGTGGTAGGTGTAATGATACAGGTTGAACTCACTGTTTATGAAACCCACCCTTCCTTCCAGTCTTAAAGTTTCCCATGACTTGTAGGAATGTGAATTGTTGCCCAGGAAAGGTAGAGATCTGGGGTACTGCTCCTTCTGAGTGAAAAGATTGCTATTAAGAGAGTTCTCATAGGAGAGAAATCTGCATATTCCAAGCACAGGAAAGCCTTTAGTCACAGTCATATCTTAGATGTAGGACAGTATAACCATGAAAAATGAGACTTCCTTTTTTCCCCCCTCATCTAGTGTTGTATAGGCAGACCTATTCATCCTCATTCAGAAATAAGTTTGCTCATAAACAAGGCCATCTAGGACTCACCATTTTTCTTAGAAGACTTCAGAAAATGAAGAAGATAAAACATGGATAGGACAACATGCCAAGTAAAAGGAGCAAGATAAGAGTGAACAAATGAATAAAAAGGTCATAAATCCACAAGGCAAAGGCCAGGAAAAAATGTTTCAGTGGAAACAGCTCATGGCGGATTTCAGCAGAATAATCTATGATCTATGCAATGGTGCAGTTATACTCAGAGATGGGCCTAATGGAATGATTCAGGTGTTCAGGTGTTATCCTTGGTAGCAGTGTTTTTCCACTTTCAGCTGGACAAGCAAGTTATTTATGTGCATGAGAACGCTACAACCTGTTAACTTCTATGAAGTGCTCAGTGCCCTTTTTTTCTTTGCTTCTTCCTTGCTCTCTAGACATTAGTTATGATTTATCTTTTATCTTTTTTATTTTTGTCTCACAATTTGATACAGTTATCCAAAGAAGTTGGTGGTTAAAAGTGCCAGCAAGCTGCAGTTGAGATATTTTTCCATTGTAGCAGTTATGAATAGCACAGCTAATACCAAAATCAGAAGACTCAATTGTGCTTCAGAAATTTTCACTTGAGCTTGCCTTGGTCTTAGAATGATATTATGATTTTGCTAGATAGGTAGCTAGCTTTAAACAAAATAATGTGTATGTATGTATTTGACATTTCTAATTGTTTGCAGTTTAGTTGACTGAGACTTCTGACAATTATTTTACTTTGATTTAGTGATTTAAAACATAGATGACCTCTCAGAGATGAAACCTGAATGTCTCTGAGTAGGACTGAACTTCCTTAGTGTTATGGAAAGTTTGGATGCATGTATAATTCAATGCCTTTTACATGCAAAACAAGAACATGTTTATGCAGGTAAGCACTGGCCATGCATGTACATAAACTTCCAGTTATAGAAGTTCCTCAAGCAAAATTAGGCAGTTGTGTGTATTTTTGAATAATTTTGTGTATTTTATGAGATTTTTGGTGATTTAGCTGTTGATGCCTACTTTTCAGAAGCTGTTTATGAACTTATATATAGATAAGCATTTACCCACATAGAAATAAAAGCTACTTTCTATGCTTCTGTTAGTTGAAGATTTTTTCTTCCCCTTGGTGATTTTGCAGGAAGAGCTTGTAGCTCTTAGGGAAATAACAATGTGATTGATTAGCCAGAAGCAGAAATTCAAATGGGGATGGAGCAATTGCACGAAGTTCAACATGATCCATCAAAGAACAGTAAATAAATCTCATAAATCCTAATGATTTCGCTATTCTTTATTCTGGCCTTTAAACGAATTACTTTAAAACTGATGATGTATATTTTACATGGCAAACAAGATTCACAACTTTGAAACAAGTAGTAGGTTCTGTTCTACTGAAAATCCATAAGATCAGACCAACACGCTTCTAGCATTATAGTTATAAGCTGAAATTGGTTTACTCATCTTTAGTTAATTAATTGAAGAATGCTTGCGCTCCTAACTTTAAGATTTTCTCTGCTTTAAAGATGCCATTTGCAGGAAAGATGTATTTTTTTTTTTTACAGAACTTATAGTAATTTCAGGAAGAGACTGTATATGAGACAAGTTTTATGATGGCCCTTAATGTTCCAGTAAGTACTGTGATTACTATTACACAGGCATGTCTTATTTACAAGAAACTGGATTGTTCAGTGTGTGACTGAGACTCATAATAACAGAGACTTTTGCTGAAGAAAGCAGTTCTAATATAAGTACATTGTCTGAGGTTAGACTTGTTGCTCAACATCAGCTGCACTGTACCCAACACTGTGCTTTTTGAGCAGCTGGTCATGTTCCTCACACCTACTGAGTAGTCTGCTTAGTTATCTGCCAGAACTGTGACAGTTGCCTTATGCCAAGGTCTTCTGGAGTCAGTATGATGAGAAAGTAATGTATAGCAGATACTGGGAGAAAGGGCTCCAAAGCAGATTAGGTCACGCTAATACCAAAGATTTTGGAGGTGATCTGATCTGATAACAGTAAAAGCAACTCCCATGCCCAGTTTTAAGTTCATGGACAGATCTGTAGCATAGGAATCCTATGCTATCCCCTAAAGTTTAGTGAATGACTGAAAACAGTCACTTTGAGAGTAGCATACATATCCTCCACATCTTTTTCTTTACTTTTAACTTAAGACTCTGTTTCAGTTATTGGAATGTCTTGCTCTTAATAAATGGGTTTCTTAATTCTGCCAGGATGATGAGAAAGAAGCTATACTACAGCAAAGACATTACTCATAGTTCTAATGTCACAATCCACAAGGGCTATTTTGTACTAAATGTTTTTAAATATATATTTTAAAAAAACAGAACACACTTCTCATTATGTGTGAAAGTGGGTTTAAAATTCTTTTTCTGGGATATGTTATTAACACTGCTCACGTTTGTCCTGAGCAAGGCTAAGGCCAACTTCAAAATAGCTAATTGTACTATTATTATTTAACTGAAATCTATCTGGATATAGACAATTTTTCAGATAAGTTGTATCTAGTATGGCTACAGTTTCATGAGGTTTGTGCAAAATATTATATTCTGGGGCGTTGCAAACAAGGACTTTGGTAAATGAAAACAGAGCTTCAGCTCTGTTTTTGGCCAAGTTATTTTGGCTTGTTATGAAACTAAAAGTTGCTTTGACTTGTTTTACAAACTTTGGACTGCATGCTATGTCAAAAGAATTATGAACGTAACATGTACGTGCAACATAAATGCTGCCTGACACAGAGAAAGATCGTATTTAAATAGCAAACTAAACCACTGGGAATTGCCTGGGAGTATGAATGGTTTAGAGATGCCGTGTCTTGATCTAGTTTTTGAAATTATCCCAAACTCAGGGCTATTCAAGATTTCACTGGAAGATCCTGTCTCTTTACACAGTTGCAGTTAGTTGAAAAAAATCATACAGGAAGATACAGTAAGATAAATGCAATTGCACAGCTCACTGGGGAATCTTAGAAATGGAACTGCAGGTGATTGAAGTGGAATCTTACTAGCTCTCTGGATGTGCATTCCAAAATTTTGTAAAGGTTTCTCATTCTAGCTGCAGCAGTATTATGTTTAGGTTTTATGCCAAAGGCATAAGCTGGGGGAGTGCTGGAGGAATCTGATGTTCCTCCATGCCTGTGAGAGTGAAGTACAGCTGTGAACTATTCACACTGCTGTAGCATTCCCTGAGTGCTTTGCCATGTGTGGAAGTAGACCAATTGTACTTGAATAATAATGTCTGATGTATATTCTCTTATCTGCTCATCCTTATTCTGGTTCGGCCTAACTAGTCTTAAAAAATCATTTTCATTGCCCTATATACCTGAAGATAGTTACATTTTTCTAAAAAGAAATAATTTGATGTTTGGCTTAATGGAAGATCATTTTGTTCACGTATAAGTTCTTGGAGACCACATGTAAAATTCTTGAACATCTGTGCATACTTGTTCTGGATCACCAGCATATATGCTTATAAACTTTTCCTATCATGTCCTCTTTCCACAGAGGTGGCTTGGTAAGAAACTGCTCCGCTCTTCTTTTCCAGCAGTGCCTGAAGAGACAGACCACCAAACAAAACTAGCTACTGAAATATGTTGTTGTGCTTTCTCATCTCCCAGCTTCCTTTTCCCAAGGCTGACATCTGTGTTATCTTTTTGCTTTGTTTGTTTTAGTGTTTGGCTTGATTCATCAAAAGCATATCAGGAGTAAAAGTTGTGTTTTTAAAACACGGTCGAGACTGTGTGTCTCCAAAGGCATGCTTTTTGTTTCTTTCAAATTAGTTGAATTTTTCAAAAGGATAATCTGTGCAGCACATTCTTCCCAGAGGACAGAGGAAGAAGGCTGGGGGACCCTGTCTTTCTTTCCATGAAGTACTTATTTTCATTTGACTGCCTTCTTGAGAGCTGAATAAATCTACTATATGGAGACTAAAATTCTGAAGGTAATCTTAGCTAATTAATAAACATAACTGTATGTTCCAGAGAGCTTGTTACTACTTGTTTTTCTTCCCAGAAGAAATGCTGCTATTTGTTCACTTTTATTCACATCAGTTAACCTACACTCCTTCACTAGCATCTTGCCTTTCTGTTTTGATACTTTTATTAGACTGACCCTGTGCTTACTCCTTTTAATTTTTAGTATGACAGTCTCTCTTTTTATTCACAGTCTCTCCAGTGACAGGGATGATAACATCTTGTGAAGCAGTTCAGACAAAGGCGTTGCTGCAGCTTGACTTCAGTTCCAGCAGGGTGGAGTGCTTCCCCAGCCTTCCTAGTCCTCCACCTATTCGCAGGGCCAGCCTGCCTTTTAGTCCTTCCTTCAGCCCCTACAGTCACATTGTTCCATTGATGCTGGATGCTCCCAACAGTGAATGCAGCTTGTCTGGTCAGGAAAACAGCTCCAAGGAGGCCTTCACTTATATCATCCAGAATCAAGGGTAGGAGTAGATGAGATTCTCATTGAGGAAGACAAAGAAAGTGAATTCTGGGAGGACAAAGCTGGGACACAGGACAAGGAAATAGATGGGAGTGTAACTGAGAATTCAAAACAAACCCTTTAGATGGAGTATGCAAAAGTGTATAATGGTGTTGTAGGGCTATGCACTTACCTTTGGAAAACTGATGGCCATAATAATTGCATGTACATCAAGTGGAAATGAAGCACAGAAACACATCCTTGAGAGGGGATGCATTAAGTGTTGGTGTGTGCCATTTAGAGAGTGGGAAAAACTAAAAGGTAGTCCCCATCAGTGGGCTATGTTTGAGAATCCTGCTGTTAATGCGCTCTCTCTTTTTTCCTGTGCCTGGGATTTGAAAGAAAGCGTTGGATTCAGATAAGGATTTGAATGGCTGTCAAGTGTGAATAAAACAATAGTTGTATATGTTAGAACGTGCTGTTTGGGGTTGACCCTACTTTGAACTCTGAATTGCTTCTCTTCTTGCTCTCCACAGCTTGTGTTCAACAGTTTCTCCTGAGCAGCTCGACTTTATAGGCAGTCTAGAGACCCCATACTGTCAGTATGGCAGCCAGGGTGGAACTTACCAGCTGTCCCAACATCCCCAGCAGCATCAGTGTTCCCAGTTCCACCATCTGCCATTTCTCCAACCCAGCAATGTCTCCAGCATTCACCTCACTTCTACAACACCAACTAAATCCAGTGCAGCTTTCCTTGCCCCACCTGGCAGCACTGGAATGGTAACCTATGGGCCAGCAGGAGACACACAGGGCTATGTACAAAACCATGTGGGGGAACAGCCTGTGTTACAGTGGCAGAATGGAAATGCAGGTAAATTTCTGAAATCTTGACATCTCACTCCTCAGGAGTGTCATCTGAAAGCCTCAGGGTCATCAGTGGTTTTACTGGTGACTGAGAGAAAGAAGGAATGTGTATATACATGCATAATATATATAATTAACTGTTTTTTTTCCTTTTCCCATAATATTTTGCTCTCTAAGTTGTTTGTGACCTATTAATTTGAATCTGAAGTTACTTCTTAGGTTATATGTTATAGAGAATGTTACTGTGTGTATATTTGGTATTACAGTGGTTTCATCTAGACTAGAGAGATTGGAGAGCAACTTACCTTTTTCCAAAGAGTACTGAACAAACTAATGTGCCTATGGTGTATGTAAGGTAGTGGTCAGGAATGAAAAATGAAGAAGTGTCACAGGAAATTGAGTAGTTGGAGGGAACAAGAAAAAGAGGGTTCCAAATCTGCTGGGTTTCTGCAGAGATCATTTTGAAAGAACTTCATGTATCTTGGGGTAGTACAGTGGAAGACAGTCAGAAATAGAGGCCAAGAGAATATTGTTATGACTTTTTTTTTTTTTTAATTCTCTGGTGGGAATTTGTGATATCACTTAAATTATGCTGAATTGCTTTATTCTAAGTAACAAAGTAGAAATAGCAATATTGGTATCCTCTTGTATCTGTGATCTGTATTCTGAATTTGTTCAAGTCCTGGTACAAACAAAAGGTAATACTACTGCCATTTATTTAGTTTGTCTGTCAGGTTTGTTATAATAAAATCACAGTCTAAAAAACACCTCTCATCAAATAAGAGAATAAAATGCTTTCAGACTACAGATTCTGCTCTTGTACCATTTTTGTGGACTTTGTCAAGGAAAAAGTCTCACAGGGTGACTGGTGAAAGCTGGCTCACTTTTCATGGCAAACATTTTCTAGAACAGGTTGGCAGCAACTCTTTCTAACACTTGGCCTGGTTCTCTCTGGTTGCGAGGCAGAATTATTATTTTCTGTGGTTTTTCAGTTTAAAGTTTTAGAAGTAATGGCTGTATTCCAGCATACAAAATTAATATTTTTATAGTATGATGGCAGAAGAGTGTGTTGCATACCTTAGAGTGCATCATGCAAGCATAAAGGGGTGTGTAAAGGTATAAGATTTCCTAGGACTGATGAAGAGGTATTGCTGAAGAGACAGTCTCAGAGTCTTACTTCTGTCTGGAGTACAACATGTAGTGAATTAAAAGTGGTGTGGCTCTTTCTTGATAACTGGGGCCAGAGATACAGAAATGCAGTGGGGAGAGAACCAAATCAGTGTAGATACACCATGAATTCTTACTTCAGCATGTAACCAGGTGAATAATTCAGTTGTATTAATATATATGAATAAAACAAACATTCAAGGTTCTTGAATTGCAGCTTTCAAAGTGATGATTAAGCATCCTGCTCATGCTTTGCAGAGCTCACTCAGAAAACTGGAGTGGAGGAATAAAAAACAATTGTGGAGTCTCTAATATCATTACATAAACCCTGCCACGCCAAAGTGACATCTTGTTATTTAGATTATAGCAATGATATAGCTTGAGTTTTTTTTCTCTGAATATAAATGTTCTGAATAGATGGACTGCAATGTAAACAAAACTAATCTTTATATGTGTGTGATGTTTGTTGTATTGTAGTAAATGCTAAGGAATAATTGTAACATTGTTTTGCACGGAGTACATTGTGAGAAGCAAAACATGCATTTTTACATACACATGATTTTAATCCTGCTTTCCTTGTTGTCATGATTTTTTCTGTTCTTGCTTTTTACTCAGTGGGCATCACTGCCAATCAAGTTGTCCCCTGGAATGATTGCTACATGCAGGGAGCTCTGTTCTTGCATCAGCTGCGCTCTCAAATGCCATTTTCTAGCACAGCAGGAGGACAGTCTTTCACAGAGCAGATTTTGTACACTCAGCTGCCTTGTCTGCCCTCTTCTCCATATTGCCTTCAAGTGCTCCACGGAACAACATTAGGATCCATGCCACATACTGGAAAACAAAAGGGAACAATAACATCAGGCCAAAGTTCATACCAGAACCACCAAAAAGAACTGGAGTTGACATCACTTGCTGAAAGAGAGGAAATAGGGAGCAGCATCAAGAAGGAAGAGAGTATTGTTGGTAATAGAAATGGAGAATAAATGGTATGAGTAAAATAGATGGCGAAACTATCAGACTTACTGCATTATAAATTGAGCAGTTAGATAGGATTGATTATTTCTACATGTCTCATGTCTCATGTCAAGGCAGAACTTCTCAAGAAAGAAGAGAGGAAGGGATAGCTTTTTTGTTTGTTTTCCCAAATGACTTTTCAGAAAAAAGACATTTATTTTAGATACAAAATTATATTGCTCTAGATCTGCTGTAAAGAGTTGAGGGAGGATGTTTGTCTAATTTTGCAATGTGGATTATTTGGAAAAAATCCAAGCAATTCAAGGCCATGTGAAAATTGAATTTTCTTAATTTTTCTTCAGATGTTAAGGAAGAATTGATTGATGCTGTGTTCTGAGAAAAAGCAAGAGGAAACATTACTATTTGAACTGCAAAATAAGAATAGAGAAGAGAATATGATGTAATTTACTTTTTAAAAATTATTATTATTGCCATTATTGTTTTCCTGCTGAGGAAAGAAGCTGGAAAATTTAAATCAATCTAACTTCTTTTGGTTGTTTGTTGTTGTTGTTTTTTTTCTTCCAAAATCTGACTTCTTAATAATTAATGAGCATGTAGGGGAAAAAAAGAGCTGATACAGGCAACAGAGTCCCCTGGATAGGTGGAAATTCTCAAGAGTTTGAAAGTATGGCTAGTATCCTGGATGAGAGCCCAGGGACATTAAGTTGCATACAAAACAAGGGGAACTCCAGCAAATACAGCTAATTTTAGAAACTACAGACAGTACAAGAAGTGTCGTGGGAAGTCCAGTCCATCATTTTTTCATGTTTGCCAGCTTTAAAATACAAATACCATAAAAAATAATATAATCAAACTATATAAATGTCAGTAATATAACCAAATCTCCATCAGTTATTAGTTGATTTGCATCTGGTTTGAATTGCTGAGAATTATGTTGTTCAAACTTACTTAGGAATTGGTAACTTAAATATTTTGTGGGTAGCACTTTCACAAGATACTAAGATCTGACACAACACTTGAAGTGGCTCAGTTATTGTGAGATGGGTTAAGCTTTTAACTGTCGTCTTCAGTTAACAGAAACTGTGGACTGTTAATGAGTTATGCCTTGCATTTGCACCTGCAATCTTCTAGGATGGGTTGCAATTTAACCTGTTGGGATGTTTCATAGCTGTGGCTTTTCTCTTACATTCTTGAAATCTTAATGAGGGAACATCAACCTGCAGTGTTATTATGAGTAATTAGTACAGTAAGTGATCTTGATTCAGTAGTCTTGGCTGCTGCTTTACCTGGAGCTGTCCTCCTAGGAAACAGATAAAAATACATCTCTGAAATTAGTCATCAGTGGTAGTAGCAGAGGACTTGACTGAAGAGGCTTTATATCCTGGTTCATAAACAAATGGCTACACTTCCTAGGAACTGTGGCTTCCAAATAAGCTTTAACCAGAATGCATAGGATGTATGAGGAATGTCTAAAATGTCAGGATCTTGCCATGTTCTTCTGAGGACAAACCATTGTCTTACATGAAGTTGACAGTGCATTTCCTCTGACGATTTCTGTGTTGAACTGTGAGCCTTTTCATTGTCTTTTGGCCACAGGCATGGCTCAAGTAATTTTTACATTACCATGTTCTATATGCTTCTGTTGTACTCTATGAAATTAAGCATTGTCAGGTCTTCTGCTTCATTTTTTTTTTTTTTCCTGTACCATAAAGGATGTTAGTAGGAGTTGAATGCTGCTGGTCTACTTTTTTTTCCTTCCCATTTCAATGTATTGCACAACACTATCAGTGGCCAAAGGCTAAGCAGTATAGGTAGAAACAGATTTATGTCATGAATCTACAAAATTGTGAAGGAATTTTCTTTTTCTAGAGCAAACATTTATTATTGACTGCAGCAGGCTGGGAATGTGGCTGGGAATGAGCATCAGTTCAGTTCATGCTTGTTTCACTCATCCACAGCTGAACAGTCTAAACCAATATTTTTAAGAAGCATGAAAAGGAATTTTCACTGCAATTACATGTGTGACCTGAAAACTGTTAGTGATGACTGCAGTATTCTCTTTAGCTTGTTTTGTTTATAAATATTGTCTAGGTCCAAAACCAACCCTTCCAGGAGATAAAAAGGACAAGAATAATAACAACAGAATATTGGCTTGTCTGCTCCTACTTGCCTTTTCTTACCTGAATTGTTTTTCTCTTTACTACATATTCTTGAAAAATTTTTAGTTTCAGAAATAGGCCTTTTGGCTGTCATTTGCTGTGTTGCACAGTGAACTCGCATATTCTGCCTGTGATATATCCCATAAAAATTATATGGATGTTCAGGATCGCAATGTGAAGCAATTTCAGAAATTACTGGGATTGAGTGAGCATAGTAAAATTTTTAAATGGAAAATCTTTTGTTTTCAAGCTTTTGAATAAAATGTAGGCATCTCCAAGTATTTTGAGTGAAACAGTAATATTCATTTCCGTGCTTGCACCTTAGATTTGCCAAGTTAATTTGGCTTGAAGTTTTGAATGTAGAAAAGTTTTGCACCTGTAGAAAACAGAGTAGGTACTTGACAGTGTGCAAAGGCCAAATTCATTCCTTTTGCAGTTCCATTGACTTAGCTGGAGCTAAACCTAGCTTAATCTACTCCATAGAAGCAAAGGCAATTTTTTGCCACTTCTGGAAAACAATGTGCTCACATAACACCAAGAGTTGGTGTTATATTAGCAGATACACTAGTAGCTTGAACTCTCATAATTAGGCTCCTCTTGCTGTTCTCTCTGCTGCAGCTTCTCTTAGTAAAATTGGATATGTTTTACAATGCACTGTTGCTTTTCTGTTTACAAGATTCTTTGCATTGCCATTTGATGAAGGCTCAAGAGAAAGCCTAATGAAATAACACCTGTTTTAATCAAGAGGAATATTCTTAGTTTCTTTAAAGAAGGATGAATTACAAAGTATCAATGTTTATTCAGCTGATCAGTTGAAATTCCAGTTTTTATCACTTATAAAGGTTATTAAAAAAATATAATCTATTGTTGGATGGTAAATACTGATTTTCCTCTTCATATGGTTGTGTCTGCATGAGAATAATATATGAAAATAATCAAGTCCATTATTTGACAGTATCATGCATCTTCACAGATAAATGCTGACAAGCATGGAAACACCTGTGGACAATTCGTTTAACTTAGTGATAATCAGATCTTCAGAATAGATAATAAATCTACCAGAATAGCATGCAGAGCATAAGATGCATGGCATAAGTCATGCATGCACTGTGGGACTTTCAGATGCATTGCTCAGTTTTCTTGTGGGTCCTGTGTGCTCACATCTGCATGACCTGTTCAGATAAGATATGGTAAATCCTCAGTTTTACACCAGCATTATTACAGAGATCGGTGCTCCAATAGCAGCCCACTAAGTTTTGTTGTGGAGAAATGAACTGCAAAGAAAAAAATAATAATTTATGGCAATGCAGCTGCAAGTAGACAGGAGACAGTTAGACCTTCCAGTTATATGTAGACATGTGGGATGCTGCTTGTCTCCACTGTGCTTACAATATATTGTTAGAGCACTGGGGGGGAGGGGGAGGGGAACTAATGTCCGCTTGGTTTCTTCTCAGAAATTATAAGCAAAATATGAACAAGATTCAAAACAAAGCAAAGTGAACCTGCAAAGTGTATGTTTGGGGTCCATTCTGCTCCCAAGCACGTGGGGACGAGGAGGAAACATAGCCCCTCCAAAGCTCCCTGCTGCAATGGAAGACCCCCGGCATTTTGTTTTTCCATGGGAAGATCAAGATCATTTCCTTACCGTTCTTCCTTCTTTCAACACTGTCACTTCTCCTCAGCCCTTTCACTTGAGGTAGCTGGTTAGCTTTTTTTTTTCTTTTTTTTTTTTTTCTCCTATTTCTCCCCTTTCTTTTCTGTATGCAACAGCAAGAGGCACACATGAGAAGTTGTGCTAGACTGTGCCCTGACGTCCACATGGACACCAGACAACCATGTGTGTTCAAGTGTGGAGTCACATCTGCTCACTCAGCAGCCTGGGAAAATGGTCCTGCTCTCGAGTATTTATGACCAGACTCTTCCTTGTACTGTGCATGGCCCCAGGCAGTGTCCTGAAATTAAAATGCCATGATGTGTTGTGAGCAGTAGTAAGATTCTCTTTGAACTACTGTAGTTGTGGCTCCTAGAGGAAAGTGGAAACACCGGTGGGAGAAGGCTAGAGGGAAAAAGAATGCCTAGGAGAGAGGATAACCAGAAAGAGGGTGAGGAGAAACATATATGAAAAGTTATTTTGTGCAACTCCCTTCACACAGTGCTGAGGACCCCTAGCTCCTGAACTGCTCCAGGGTTGGTTACAAATGTTTCTGTGTTAATGGGATAGCTCTGCTGCCCTGGGGCTGCTGCTCTGCATTCTGTCCCAGTAGCTCTCCTGACAGAGTCAAACTGCAAGGGTTTGAGCCACAGGGTGAGGGACGGCCGAAATGCCGAGACACAATTTGCACTCTGGGCTTTTTAACTGGAATGGACATACTGAGGCACTGCCCACTCTTCCTCTCAGCTTGTCTTCTTGGAGAGCATTTTGGTACGTCTGAAGCCTTAGCAATGATCTGAGTTGGGTTCAGCATGAATTTTGAGCTGATTTGTGAGCTGCGTACTACTGACAACCCTAACCCACATACAAGCTGTTTGGCTGCTAGGTTGTTTCCTTGCTCTGTTTGCGACAAGGACTGAAAATACCAGCTATTATTTCTGTTAGCTGCTGTCCATGGTGCAAGCATGGTTCATTTTTGTATCAATCTGCCATTCTGGAAAGCCTCTTTCTGCTAGTGCAGTGTCCCTCCAGTGCTGAGCAGTGAGTGCCATGTGAGCCTGCAGGAGAGGTGAGATGTCAAGTTATCTGGAGGGTGAAGCGGTGTGTGTGTGTGGAACTCTGTAGGACATTTTCTACTGTCAAATGTACTGTCAAATGTAGATGAAATGGGGATAATGCAACAATGCTAGGGGCAGAAAAACAGCTCGTAGTTTAGCAACTACATATAGAATATATCTGGTGTGCAGCCACTGAAAATACCAGTAATGGGTGCATGTCTGAGTGAGTAGAACTGCACTTTGAAGAGCATCAGTGTTGCTTATTAAAAGAAAGATGAAAATTATTTAAGATAACAGAGCTGAGCATTGAAAAATTAGTAAAAGTGCAGCTTCTTTTGTGCCCATATAATATAATAGTAGGTGATCTTGTAATTAATTAGTATTTTAGCTCACAGTCTCTGTCTCAGCCAGTGGATATGTAGGCAGCAATTTGGATTTTAGGGGGCTTTTCAGACAGTGTATGACTGAGATCATATTTACTTTGTGTAATCTTTACTAACAACATAGTAAGTAATTATTCCTGCATGGCATTTTGATAATGCTCACAGCATTGTTGGTGAATGGTACAGAGACATGGACCCTACATGAATAGGAGCCACTACTATAGTTCTTTCCTGTATCTTTCCTTTACAGCTTATGAATGCAGTGACAAAAATGATAAAGTTCAGAAATAGGCACTGGCATCAAACTAAGACAATAAAGCCATAATTGCATTCACAGGTGCAATCTTCTGTTGTGCATGGCTCTTACAGACTTCAGTTGCTGTCATTTGTGCCCAACACTGTAGCAAAGCTAAAGATACTTCTCATACACACAGAAAATGAGGTGTGTGTCTTGTCCTGCACCACTCTCAGTCAGGAACAGACATTCTGTCTAGTTCTGATAACATAATTTGTCTTCATCACAAGGCCATTCTTTCTTTTCCTTATTTCCTCTCATTTCCTCCGTATTAGGACTTCCAATCTGCTGCCAAAGGGAAAAAGAGATCTTGCAGATCTACGTTAAAATGTATGAATACATGAGAGTTTTCCTTCATGTTTTTTTATGGTAGCATCACTTGAGATTGCAACCTTAATGTTATTTATTCTCTGTTCTTGAGTGTTGATTTTTGTTGTTGTTAAATAAGTGGTAAAAATATATATGTTTCATGAGGTAGGGTCACTAGCACACATAATGATCATCAGAAGACTGGATTCTTCAATTTCATCATTGGAGCTAATGAGCTTGCTAATAGCCCTTTTTATAGTGCCAACATTTAAGGCAGAAGATGCCTTTGTATTTTTTACTCTGATCTTCTGCATACCAATTTTTTTTCCCAAATATTACATGTTCCTGTCATTCCCCATACCTATCTCTGCCTTGACGCCTTACTGGTCTGTCTAGGTTTTATTCTAGATTTGTGCTCTGCATTTGTGCTCCCTGCTTTGTTTAAAGCTCTGACCCTTTCTTCCATCCCTGTTTTTTTCTCCCTTCCCTTGCTTTGATGCCAGAAAGGGCTGTGAGGTGCCAGAACTGCCATGGTAGATTTGAGGTACAAGGATAATTCACTGTCTACTCTGAGGTTCTTCATTTTTCTGCTGACACAAAACAGTGATAATAAAAGCTGTCCCAAAGCAATGATCTTAACACTTGCACTCACTTTACCATCCTGGTAATGTATAAACATGTATGTTCTAAATATTTCCTTGTAAAAGAGATAAATGTATGAAATCTGTGAATGTTTTTGGACTGGAATCTTCCTTCCCCTAGATCCAGGAAGCTAGTGAGTCGCAAAGTCATGCATTTCTGAAAAGTCAGATTGTTCTGTGGATTGCAACACAGGATCAGCAACAAAGTCATGGGCATGAGAGGACCTGCTCTCAGTGTTGCAGCACATCATACCTGCATCTGCCTGTTGCACTGTTTTGAAGTTTCTGTAGGAACTTGGCAACACAGTCCACAGCAGCAGGTTACAACCTGACTGTGCATTAGCTAAATCATTGTTAGACTTTAAAAAATATATATTATACTATTTTTTTAAGCTTTGGCAGAGTAACAAGTTGTGTTTCTCTAAGTTTATTGTTGAAAACATCTGAGCTCTACTTGCTGAAACACATTCATATAACAAAATTCAACTTGAGGCAGGCAGAAAGTTCCTGCATAGACATTTGAACTCTGATATGATAAGAAGCTGACAGTAAGATCTGTTCACAAAAAGCATGGAGGAATCACGTGAAAAGTTACTATTAGATGCAAGAAAAACTTTACAAATAAATATGTTGTAAAGCAAACGTTTACAGAAGGAAAATTTTCCGAACATTTAACATAATTTTCCCATGTAAGTAAGTGAGCTCACTGCAGAAGCCTAGACAGAGGGCAGGTTTGCTCACAATGTAATAAAATGTTCAAAGTGAATGGATCCCTGTTATGAAAAGGACAATGGTTGCTTCCCTTTGCACAGCTGGGAAAGCTTGGGAAGCAGCTTGTGAGATTCCTGACAAAATGAGGAAGGGGAGCAGATGGCAGAAAAGCCTGCTTCCTATACCCAAGTCAAGGGTGGAGCTAAACTGGCCCTCGCAAAAAGAAAAAACTTAGTCTTTCTAGTGGATCTTGACATATAGGACTAGCAATCTTGCCAAAGTCTTTGACAGGAAGAGTTTGCTAAGTGGTGCCTTCACTGTTGGTCCAGCTTTCTGTCTCATTTCTACTCAGTGTTATTTCTTTTTCCTTGATAACATTCTTGATCATGGACACTCTATCCTTCAAAAACCCATAAGGCAGTGTACTGTTTTTCATTATCTACAGTTTTTCTCACTTTGGCTACTAACTGGATGGAGCATCACAAGGGAGAATCCAAGAGCAAAAGTCTGGAGTTTCTCAGAGAGCAGCCAAACAAGAGCCGTGTCTGTGATAACTTTTCCAGACAATACCCAATGTCAAAGACTTCTTAAATATCTTCCGAGAAGAGCACAGTATTTTCCCTATTTGCTTCTGGTGGAAACAGAAAATCAGCCCACAAGTAGTGCAAGTTTCCAAGTGCATAAAAAGAGAAAATCTTTTTAAAGGAGGTCAGTAGCCAGTAACTGCATCTAAAACACAGTGCCCAGTTTTGGGACTCAATATCCATCACTGAAAAAACAGAGTGAGCTCAGTGGAGGGCAACAAAGATGGTTAGCTTTCTGAAGCATGTTCACTGTGAAAAGACGCTGAAGTTATGAGGCTTGACCAACCTGCAGAAAAGAAGAATGGTGGGGGCTAATGACAGCCTCCCAATACCTGTGAGAAGGTTACCAAAAAGACAGAGCCAGCAACCTCACTGTGGTACATAGTGGCAGGATGGCAGATAATTAGCATAAGTTGAACCAAGAGAAGTTCAAACTCTTGTAAGGAAAGCTTTCCCTCCAGGAAGACAGCCAAGCAGTGGATCAGGTAAGACGTTCTGCAGTTCTCATCCTTGGAGGTTTTCAGGATTGTGTTGGATAAAGCCTTGTTTAACCTGTCCTGACCTCATGGCCAACCCTGCTTTGAATAAATGGTTGGACCTCATGAAGTCAACAAAAAATTGGCCTGTTCTAAAAGCCTATGGATCTCTATAAGCTTAACAGTTCTCATACCCTAGAGAAAGTAAGGGTCTGCCCAGCCTCTGCAGTAAAACTGAAGTAACTTCGCACTGTTTAATTACTATTTGCTTCCTTGGGCTGGCAGCTGATAGGTTGAATGGCAGAATCCCAGACATTTTCCCCTCATAATTTGCAAAAAAACCCCAAACCCTTGTTGCCATGTTGGAGGACAGCAGACACACAGTATGTCATCCTTTCTGCTTCTACGAGAAAAGACCTCACTAATTTGCCTCATCTATTACCCATTAAAGCATGATTTACACTAATGGAGAATGGGTTGGATTTGACCATCTGCTATTTTCCATCCATTTACACCAGATTTGCCACGTTGCTTTCTTTTCAAGAGCATTCTTTGATGTGCATAGCATGCAAAAACCTTCAACTATGGTGCACGATAAGGGCTGAAGATGTGGACTGTGCAAGAGAGAGTAGAGAAGGAGCAAAATCCCCTTCTGTCCCACAGGTACAGTCCTTACTTACATAGCCCCCAGCAAAAATTTAAAAAGAAAAAAAAACAAAAGCACAATAATTTTCTTTAGAGGAGACTGAAGGGAGGCCTCATTGCAGTGTACAGCTTCCTCAGAAGGGGTACAGATCAGTAGGTGCTGATTTCTTCTCTTTTTTGACAGTGACAGGATCTGAGGGAATGGCACAGAGCTATGTCTTGGGAGGGTTGGACTGAGCGTAAGGAAAAGGTTTTTCATCAGAAAGTGGTCAGGCACTGGAACAGGCTCCCCAGGGCAGTGGTCACAGGCCCAAGTTACTGGAGCTCAAGAAGCAGTTGAACATATCTTTCAGGCACTGGGTTTGAATTTTGAATGGTCCTACATAGAACCAGGAGTTGGACTCAATGGCCTTTGTGAGTCCCTTCCAATTTGGGATATGTTATGTTAGTATTTGAGGGTCTATCGTGTTACTCAGAGTAAAGTCACAGAGATTTTCAAAGAATTAATGAGTGTCATAAAAGCAGAAAACAGTAAATTCTATTGAACATCCACAGCCACTTTTAACATCTGCCTGACTGAACTTCCCAGGAGCATGAATCATGACTTGCTGACAAGGAACTCTCCTCCTACTGTGTGTCCAAGGATGAGATGTAACCTGTAATTTGGAGGTGTTAGCTGCCCTACTCAGAATCTCTGCTGCAAGGGGAATCATGCCAGAATGTACAGCAAAGCACTTAGGCACAGCAGCAGAGGAGTGTAAAGTATAACAATTAAGAAGGATTCTTCTAATTACCATCCTCAAATGATTGCAGCGCTGGGGTGAGGTGTGGCTTTAGAAAAGGCTGCTGAGCACTGCCCCAGCTGTCCAGGGGCAGCAGTGTATGCATAAGCTGATGGTGCAGTTTTCATGCTGTTTCATTCCTACAAAGCCAAAAAAACTCTCTCCTCTACTCCTGTTCTTTCCTCATACCAACCCCCAGAGCAGAAGCTCAAACCTAAAATTCTTGTCATAAGCAGGGCATGCCATGCTAAGGTTGATGCTTTATGTTGACATTGCATGAGCCATTTCTTTGGTGGGACAAAGCAGAAGTGCAAGCACTCAGCACTTAGTAAGTTAGCAATTAAATGTCAACATGGAGGACAGGGCAAAAAATAGTTTTCAGCCTGAATAGCTATTGAATGTCAAATAGGCAGCTAGAGAAGAGAAGCATTCAAACAGCCATGAAAGGCTGCCTTGTAGATTCATTTTTGTAGGAGACACGCATGAAAGCCTGTATCCAGCAGTGGAAAATCTCACTAATTATTATTGCCAGTGAAGTCTGGAAGCTGTCTATATGTTCTAGGTTCATTTAAAAGTGACTTTTAGTACGAATCAAGGTCCTCAATGCTGAGAGTTTGAATTAGGTCAGTTCAAATTAGGTCATTTCCTCAGAGCTGCCAAGAGGCAGAAACTGAAAAGGTTACTATTTTATAATCATCCTAATTATATAGTGGCTCCAGGCAAAAGCCACCCTCTTAACATAGAAACACAGAAGAGTCCAGGCTGGGTTTTACTTAGCTAGTGCTTGTGCATGTTCTGGACCAGCAGCTTTCCCCTGAGGGACAGAAATCCCCTCATCAGGGGTCTCAATTAGATGTTCCCCACAAACAAGAATCTGACTCACATTTAGCACTATGATTTCAGTCCCTATCACTCTTTTCTTTTCTATCTACCTCCCCTCCCAGTTGCTCCCAGCCAGATCCTGTGACACTCACTTGAACTGTAGATCCAGCAGGAAAGGTGAAGTAGGGCAGATGTACAATCAGTTCGTAAGAACTGTCTGCAAATGTTCTACAGTATTTGGGCTGATAGGTGAAAGGAATACAGAATCATCCTGATCCAGATAGCCTGTCAAGGTAAGTTCATGGTGTTGCTGCTGAAGCATTTCTTTTTTCCGAGAATACTGCAGCTAACAACAGTATCCCACTGTCAGACATTCTCTACCCCTTTAGAAATAAACCTATTAGTTGCTGAACTGCAAATTCTCAGAATACAATCTGACAATTCTTCCCACACTGAGTCTGTTAGGCTCACACCTTTCTTTTACTGGCAGCTTCTTCCAACATCTCTCACTGTTTCCACAGTTCAGGGATCTGCTGTTATTTTTTCCTTGCACTTGACTCAATTGCTAATATGCTAGGACTCCCTTAAAATGACAATACGCTGTACCACAGTTGTCCTTCTTAGCTCCACTACAAAAAGGAACCTCTTCCGTAGTGATAAGTGTTGTTCCCAATGCAAAACCCAAGTTTTCCCTATGTTAGTGCATTTTCTGCCAACATTGCCAACCACGTAGCTAGCTTGAGACCTCCCTTAATTTCTGAGGAAGGCTGAGTCTGACTTTTTGAAAGTGGTCTAAAATATTTTTTAACTAGCATAAATACATCACGGAAAGCCTCAATCCAGTTCAACAACTTTGTAAGGTTTGGCCAAGTAGCAAGGGCATATTTTGAGTTCATAGCAGCAGATATGTTTGTTTCTCAGAGCAAATTTCCATATTTTATGTACTCCTTTTCCCAGCTGTCCTTGGCTAGCTTACAACAAATAAAAATCCTCTACTGCCTTGACTTCCTTTTGATTTTCCTCATAGCAGTGGATAGCAGGCACATACTGCAGCAGCCTCAGAGCAATGCAGTGCAAAGCTTATCAATGTTTCCTCACGAACACAGCAGCAACTATGCTATGCCACATGTATTTCAACAGTTCATGCTATCTTTGCCTATCATTCATCTGACGGTTTAATGGTCAGTGTTATGTTAGTGCCTTAACCAGGACTTACCTCCATTATCAGTTATCACCTCTTCTGATATGCCATTCCAAGCAAATATTCTTCAGATACACCTGATCTGATGTGAAGATGGGAAACTCATCCTCTGCTCAGAGGGACAGTACAAGAAAGCCTTTTTTTAATTAAAAAAAGTGGTATTGCCATTACTTACAAGCAAATTCTTCAGCAAATCTGTCCCAGTTGCTGCCTGAAAAGCCAGCTGCCTCAGAAGCAGTTGTTTGAGAAGTATTGATTTGATATCAGCTTTAAGATTTTAGGAGGACTGCAACTAGATATTACACCTATAATTCATGTTTTTGCTAAAAGGAAAGTAATAATCAAGTAACCATCAGTAACTATAATCAGCTCTCTTTGAAAAAAAGATTTACAGAAAACTCCAACCAACACATATACAATGTTCAAGAAGGGCTGAAAGTTGGGTTGCAGGTACTTCCAGAAAGAGTTTGATGGCAGATAACCATGAAATGTTACCATAAACACTGTAAGAAGGCAGTGTTGTAAAATAAAGACTAGTGTGTACAGAAAATGCTCATTTAGCTTCTTTAGAAAACAGGTGCAAACTTATCCTTCCAGCTATTCAGTTGAATTCTACATCAGTTTGAGAACTACCACCACAGCTGATGCTATTCACCTGCACTTGCTACTCACCTGCTTCTCACTTCATTTAGATTGATCTTTTTTTTAAGAAGGCACCATGAAATAGAGAATAGACTACAGAGGAAAGCTTAGTATTTGCATAAGGCTTTTTATCAATTTATCAACAAGGCAAAACATCCAGGTATTAATCTATTGCTACAGTTGGAGCCCCAACCCTCCACAATTCTGACACTTCTTATGTCAAAAGAGAACCTTCTTACAAGAGAAAAGTGGGAAGTGATGAAAAATTTAAAATACATAGATGACAAACACCAGAAACTCCTAAGAATATATATGAGGTGCTACAGCAGAACGTATAGCACAGCAACTGGCAAAGCTCTGGTGTTTGTATCCAACCAGGAAGTATTTTAAACACTATAAAGGCCATTTAGATTGTAAGGATAGGAAAACTAGTAACTTTTTAGCTAGGGTTTCCACAGTAACACAGCTGCTCTCTCCCATTTTTTACTTTTAGTTTGAAACACAATAGCCACAGTACTAGTTGCTGCTATGAGCAGGACTGCAGGGCACTACATTAATTTCTAGTAGAACTTGTGTTCCCTTCCCAGAATTTGAGATTGGCCCTTAAGACTGTGTACATCACTAGTTTTGGCTGGACAAAGCACAAAGTCAGCTACTGAGAAAAATCGTGTAAGAACATGCTATAGGAATTTGCCTTATCAAGACACTGAGGCCATGTCAGATGCCAAGGAATAGAGTTATGCCAGGACACAAGCTGAGAAAGCCCACCTGGTATCAGAGCCTAGCACAGCAGGGTACCATTGCCTGTGTATCATCAGTATGACACTTATCCTTTAACATCCTATATGAAGATGACGTTGCAGCAGTAAGAAAAATATAATTAATAACTGGTTTTGTTCATGCACTGAAAAAGGCAGAAATTATGAGACCTTCCACAATATGTACCAACAAAGCAAATCATGAAAGATCTTTGCATTCTTTGGAATTGTCTTCTAAAATTACATTGACATAAACATAAAATCACTGAATGGTTTGGGTTGGAAAAGACCTTTAAAGAACATATACTTCCAACCCCTGCCATGGGCAGGGACATCTCTCACTTGACCAGATTGCTCAAAACCCCATACAATCAGGCTCTGCCCCATCAATGATTTTCTTCAAACATAAAATAGATATTACCCTTTATTAAGTATCAAATTGCCTTAAACATAAATATATCGAAATTATTTAAGTTTCAAGAAAAACAGATGCTTTGTGTACATATTCATCTTGAGTCAAATATAACTTTATCATTTTAACCTATAGCATAGAAAGCAAACCTACATCAGTACCAAATAAAGCATTAAAAAGGTAACATACAATTTTCTTTTAGAAATGGTTTAAGAACACTAGAGATAATGACATATTTTATAGTGCAGACACCTTGGATTTACAGTTCTTAGACCACTTCTCTGTTTCTGCGGATAGCACAGCAAAGAACCATACTGAATATCATGCCAAAAATCTGTAAAGAAAACAAACTCATTAGAAATCAGAATGGGGAAAAAACAATCTTATCAAGATGCAAAAAAGCATAGATACTTCCTGGCTCAAAATGCATACTAATAATTTATTTTGCAGTTTGTGTCCCCAGGCCTCCTTTCCCTCTGATCCCCAAATTTCAGCTAATTCTCACCAATCCCCCTTACCCTCAGTACTTCAAAACAGATCAACTACGAATTCAAGTCAATCTCTTAAATATCAGATCTTCCCAACATTATTGCATCTGCATCATATTTGCCTCCCAAGAAAGGAAACAAGTGCAAGTTTTCTTAATAGCGCTGTTATTTCAGACTCCTAGTCAGTTCAAGAGGAAATAAACTGTTCATGTTGCCAAGCTCATGTTTTCAACCTGCACACCCCACAATCACTCAATACAACTTAGCTAATGCTAAAGCTACAAGGAGGCAGATCCTAATCCAAAGTAGAAGCATAGAGTCCCCAGGCACCCCACCCACCAAGTTGTTTCAAGGTCCCACAACATACAACTTTAACTTATAGGTACTCATGATTAGTAGAACAGGCTCACAGATGGTAGTTAATGTCTGGCACTGTTCAATAGACCTGTACTCCAAGCAGCCTTGGCCAGGCAGCAACCCCATAATCTGCAAACTCACCATTATCACAGCAATACCAAGGCCAACCACTCCAATGACATTCAGTTTTGAATTAAAGACATCATCAATGGCTTTAGGACATGGCTGAAAAGAAACCATATTTGTTAGTGTTTCATGCATACTGAAACATTGATTTGTTTGCTTGTTTGAGCTTATCTGCTCAACCTGTCATAAGGGGCTGGGGCCTGTCCTCCTCAATATCTTTATTGATGACCTGGACAAGGGCACTGAGTGCACCCTCAGTAAGTTTGCAGATGACACCAAGTTGGCTGGAAGTATCAGAGGGATCTGGACAGACTGGATAGCTGGGCTGAAGTCGGTGGGATGAGTTTCAACAAGATCAAATGCCAGGTCCTGCACTTTGGCTGCAACAACCCCAGACAACACTACAGGCTTGGGGCAGAGTGGCTGGAAGATTGCATAGAGGAAATGGACCTGGGGGTGTTGATTGATGCTCAGTTGAACATGAGCCAGCAGCATGCCCAGGTGGCCAAGAAGGCCAATGGCATCTGGGCTTGCATCAGAAAAGGTGCTGCCAGAAGGAACAGGGAAGTGATTGTCCCCTTGTACTCAGCTTCAGTGGGGCCACACCTCGAGTACTGTGTCCACTCTTGGGCCCCTCACTGCAAGAAAAACACTGAGGTCCTGGAGCAGGTTCAAAGAAGGGCGACAAAGCTGGTGAGGGGTCTGGAACATAGGCCTTATGAAGAGCAGCTGAGGGAGCTGGGATTGTTCAGTCTGGAGAAGAGGAGGCTCTTATTGCTCTCTATAACTACCTGAAGGGAGGTTGTAGTGAGCTAGGGGTCGGCCTCTTCTCTCGTATAACTGGTGATAGAACTAGAGGGAATGGCTTCAAGCTGTGCCAGGGAAGATTTAGGTTGGATGTTAGGAAATACTACTTTTCTGAAAGTTTCTGAAAGAGTGGTCAAGCACTGGAATGGGCTGCCCAGGAAGGTGGTGGAGTCACTGACCCTGGAGATGTTCAAGGAACATTTGAATTTTGTGTTGAGGGACAAGTTTAGTGAGTACTACTGGTGATAGGTGGATGATTGGACTGAATGATCTTAAAGGTCTTTTCCAACCTTGGTGATTCTATGATTCTGTGAACTATAAAAATGCCTCTCCTGTCTGTGGCATACAGGCATCACTGCAGCACTATTTCAACACTGGAATCTGATTCAGAGAATTTATCATATAACCACCCAAGCAAGACACCAGTGCACTATCTACCCTATCTCCTGTTTTCAAAAATGGCAAATTTCTCAGACTTGCTCCCTTCTCATGTTCTCCTCCCAAAGGAAGAGAGGCAACACTTTAGTACATATCAGGAAGGCACTTTATGTTAGCAGCAGTCTAGACAACAGAACTCTGGAGTGTGTTATGTGAAGTTTTTGCATTAATTTGTTTATCATACCCCTGAATTTAATGACATAGGCTACAACACCATGCATCTGCATGTATCTATAGAGTATGATTTCCTGCTGATCTCACTTGTTCCTTCTACAGGGAGACTGTAGATTTTCTACAAGAGGATTGACTGTGTGGATAGGCTGCCTATCAAGAATTTTTTCATGTAATTTTTTTTTGTTTTTTTTTTTTAATCAAGGCATTTTTCATGGACTGGAAGGTTTTATTTGGAGTGCTGTTTCTCATTCTCATTTGGTAGAATTACTGGAGAGTTAGGTCATGAGTTACCATTGTAGTAAGTGACTCAGGCAAGGTCTTCTTTGGACAGGTGTCCATCAACTGCTGCTCAAAACCTCCAGTAATACCACAGCAGTTCAGCTACAACAGAAGACAGGAAAAAAAAAAGTTACTTTTTTTTTTCCCCTCTCTGTACTTGCTTAAAGAAAGCTAGATTACATTAGCTATTATTACAGACCTTATGCAGTTTGCTTAGAAGTCCTGCAAATCTGATTTAAAAGGATTTTTAAGAACAAGGTTTATAGCAAAATATAAGACTCAAAAAGTAAGAGCTTAATCTCATTAAACATACACATGCACACATTTTGGGGCAGCTTGGTACTTCTTATAGGTGAAAGATTAACTTCTTAAACACATGCAATTACACATACTGTGGTACCTTCAGATCAGTGCTAGAGCTCTAGAGTTTCTCAGCTTGCTTTTAAATTTATTTAGGAAAAGAACTAGTCCTACTTATTTCAACGGGAAAAAGGTATACTGAGTTCACTAGTGGTATACAAGAGCTGCAGTTTGTTACCAGTTCTCCTTTGGTTTCTTCTAGTTAGTAAGGTACTAGATTTGTACAGGATTCTGGATGTGTTAGAGAACAGCGTCAAACAGTATCTAGTTTAATACTAACTATGCACTTACAGCAAAATGGAATGCTTTCAAGGTTTCTCTGGCAGCTGGTTGAGATCTCTTTTCATAGGTTTCTCTGTAGAAATCCTGTAACTCTTCAACAACCTACAAGATAGATAGTTGTATTCTATTAATGTTTTACCTTGATTAATAGCTTGTTTTGGATAGAGTAGTCATTAATATTTCTACAATCTACAATACATAGCCTTTTGACATATAGAAATTGAGAGTGGAAACAGGGTGGACATCATTTATCACCTGGAACAAGTAAGCCTAAATGGTATACTCACATTATAACCTTGACCCAAACAGATAAGCTTCACAGATTCCCTTCAGAACTATGAGCTCCTAAGAGGATTGAGAAAACTAAGTTTTCCCCATTAGTTACACAGAATTATTTCCTACTCATTGCTGTACTCCAGAAGTCACTACATTCCCCAGTTGCATAATATAAGCAGCAAAACAATCCTGAACCAAGTACTCAGTTTGGAAACAAAATCTGAGCATTAAAAAGCAAAACTTCTACAAAGTATATCCAAAGAGTTTCAATTATTTTTGCTATTTTTAAATGCTTGCCAAAAAGTCTAGAGCCAAACCTACATTAGAGTTTCCCTGGCATAGGAGGCCAATACATCTACCAACATTTCTATTCTCGTGGTCTGCAGCACCTTCACACTGGCTAGTTTTGCTCACATGACTCTGGTGATTAAGCATAAAGCCCTCCTATTTCTGAACTGTTAGAGCAGCAATAATCTGTGGTACTCCTAGCCTGACTGGTATGGAAGGCCTCACTGCAGGATCTGCACCAAAAGCACAGCCAGCTCGGTGCCTTATTGTTACATAAACTCATACACAGTGACAAGGCAATATCCACAGCATGTGAACATCCACAGTGGTAAAAATATCTGAGGAGTATATCAACTTGAGGCAAGAATACAGAACAGTCATGGCTTAGATATGATATTTAGCCTTTAACAGCAAGCTTCTTCCTAGAAATTGTAAGAACTTACTGAAGGCTTGCTTCACTTCACAGTGCAGACACTCAGAAGGCACCTGTAAGGGACAACAGCACCTTGGATTCTGGCCTCTCTGCTATAGTCTTTTTAATTCAGTAATTAGTTTAATCATATTTGGCTGCAACAAGCCTTCTGCCTTCTCCCTCCTCCTCCAAATTAAATAGATAATCAATATTTGATTATTACTGGTACATTTTTCCACTAGACATCTACATTCACACAGGCACACAATCCTCAAATTTAAAAAGAAGCCCAAAGCCAGTAGGAACAGCTTGATATGCTTAAACCCAGATGGATGGGGGCTTGCTGGGCCCTATGCCAGGTGGAAGTGGAATAGTTGGGGTGAAATGCAGAAGGAAGTGTGCTTGTTGGGCCAAAATACAGAAGAAAGGGAGCTTGCTGGGGCAAAAGTAAGAAGGAATGGGGCTTTCTGGCCCTAAATGCAGAAGGAAGGGGCTTGCAGGGCCGAAACACATAAGCAAGTGGGCTAGCTGGTGTGAAATGCACAAGGAAGGGTGCTTGCTGGGCCAAAACCCAGAATGAGAGCATCCTGGGCACAAATCCAGAAGGAAGGGGGCTTTCTAAGCCCAAAGCCAGAGAGAACATGGTATGATATGTTGAAACCCAGATGGATGGGGCTTGCTGGGCCCCATGCCAGGTAGAAGTGAAATAGCTGGGGTGACACGCAGAATGAAGTGTGCTTGCTGGGCCAAAACCAGAAGAAAGAAAGAATGGGGCTTTCTGGTCCAAAATGCAGAAGGAAGGAGACTTTCTGGACAAAGACACAGAATGTAGGGGGCTTGCTGCTCTGCTACGCAGAAGGTAGGGGGCTTGCTTGGTCCTTACCCATAAGAAAAGGGGCTTACTAGGCCCCAGGCAAGAAGGAAACAGATTTGCTGTGTACAAAACCAGAAGAATGAAGTATAGTGTGCTGAAACTCAGAAGGAAGGCATTCTGGGTTGAAAGTCAATAGGAAGTTGTCTTGCTGAACCAAAAAGCAGAAGAATGGAGGCTAGCTGTACTGAAAGCTAGAAGGAACGGGCTTGCTAAGTCCAAAGGCTGTAGGACCGGAATTTACTGTGCCCAAGTGCTGAAGGAAGTTGCTTGCTGAGCTGAAATATAGATGGAAGGTGCTGGCTGGGCAAAAATCTGTAGGGGAGAGATTTTCTGTACAGAAACCCCAGAAGGACGGTATTAAATGTTAAGAAAACTACAATATAGTTTAAGACCTGCAGCTTTGGGAATAATCTTTGCACTTGGAAGCTGTGACATTGAAAGAATAAGAAACTAACATGCATGGTCTTTCAAGTGAAGAACACTCACTGAGGTGTCAGATAAGGTTTTGTTGATCTCTTTGGTTGTTACTTAACAGCAACCTACCTTTTCTTTATTTGCAAATCCCCAGACGGCAGTAGCAATTTCAAGGGCAAAAATCACAAAGAGGAAGATGAAGAACTAGAAGAGCAAGACCACATCATTAACCAACACCATAACACCAAAAAAAGAAAAAAACCAAAAACCAACAGTAGCAGACATCCTTGAAAGCTTGTTTGGTCCCCAGTGTCCCTTGTGGGAATTATCACTCAACCTGTTTTTAGCTGAATTTCTGAAACTGGTTGAAAACAGGGAATAGGACATTCAACACTTCCTTCTGAGAGCATCAGTAAGCTTGGCAATGTTTTCCAAGCAGGAATCCCGCATTTTTTATCAGTGTTAATTAAAGCCAATTATTTGTTAACTCAGACTTGAAGTTACACAGGTCACATAGACATCGTATAGTTAACATGCTTTCTCTGGTTTGTCACCCTTATTGCTCTACGAGTCATAACTTAGTACCTAGCATGTCACCCAAGAGCCTTCCTTCAGAGCTGATAGTCACTTGTTTCTAACACAAATAGAAGTAACACCGTATTCAACTGACTATCGGTTCCAGAACACTGACCACTTAAAGGCAATTTAAAAAGAGGTGTTCAGAATTACAATAATGGACTAAAACAATAATGGACTAAAGGCATAACTTAAGGAAGGCAAAACTTTATAAAGCATTAATTCACAGGAAGTGAATTATTTTTCCACCAGCTACAGCAGTCTTATTAACCATATCTTGTTATTTGAATTAGTAGTTCCACAATAAGTACAGACATGCTTGAACTCAGTAAGTCCCAGCAGTCTGAAAACAATGAGGTTACTCTCCAACAACTGACTTGAAGAACACTTGTCAACTAGACTAGTTCATACAGTGATTATGAACAGCAGAAGTTTGCTGCTTTGCAGATCTTATAATATTCCAGTACTGGTCTCAAATATCTCAACAAAGCAGAGTTTAGGACAAATTGTTTAATAAACAGCAATAATCTTACCAAAATTTTAGTTCCACATTCACACATTTTCCCATTCTCTTGATACTCTTGATTCTCAGTGTCTGAATGTCATTAACTTGGTCGTTTTGCATTCAAATGTAACATACATTTTGATTTAGTGCCAGAAATGGAAACTAGATACCATTATTTAAACATTTTATCATTATATAAATGACCATAAATTAAAACACTGTGAGACCCATCCAATTCGCATCTGTTCTCTTTTACTCCACAGCAAATATTATTCTTCCTTTCTGATCAGATTGCTAAGTTTAAACATTACTTTAAGCACTCATGCTTACCAGTCCAAGCATACACTGTGATTCCTGCAATGCACCACAGCATCCCAAGAAGCCAACCAGCATCATGAGTGCACCAGCTCCAATTAGGATGTAAACTCCTGGAAAGGAGAAGAAACAAAGATTCATACAAACTAGTTGAATCTTCAGCAGCAAGTTAGTTGCTCTATAAAAAGCTTTTAAAAGATTTGTTGTTTTCAGCAAAAAGTGGGATGAGCTTAATTTTCAAAGCAAGCTTCCCCACAAGCTTTGAGATGCTATTAATAGAACTTCAACTTACAACAGGTGATGTGCACCACTGCTGCAGTTTCACAAAATTTAGAAAAAGTACAAGATAAAGCCATCAAAATAAAACTATAAACACACTTAAAAATTGGCTCAGAGACCAAATAATATACTTATTTTAGGATAAAAAAGTGTTGCAGTTAGTTGGAACTAGTGATTTATCAGGAACTCGAAATTCTTTCAGTACCTGTTCTCCTGATGGAAGCAGACAATACAATCATCTGTCAAAGCTTTAAATGCTTTTGTACCCTACTTGTTCATCAAGAATTACCAAATTATTTTACCAGCCACAGTGTCATATTCAGCTGCCTAACTTGACAGCCTTTCTAACTAAAAGAAATTCAAAATCTTCTGCCTTTTTGGAAGCAGGTATTTCTTTAAATCAAGTGGTTAAATCTATAGACCATTTTGCCCAGAATTTAAGTAGCAAGTGTTAAAGAGGAGAGAGCAAACAGTTCTGGACTAAGTACTCCTATGCCCAAATATCTCCTAATGTTGGGAACTATCAAGTTAAGAATTACAGCTCTTCAGCTGCTAGCCATTAAAAACAATAAGAGATAGCTGGGAAAACACAAGTCCCATAGGATGGCTGGCTAGTATCACTTAGGTGGTGAAAAACTGTAAAAACATTAACACAACACATGTAAAATTACTTTGACATTCCATAGAATCATAGAATGGCCTAGGTTGAAAAGGACCGCAACGATCATCTAGTTTCAATCCCCCTGCTGCGTGCAAGGTCGCCAACCACTAGACGAGGCTGTCCAGAGCCACATCCTGCCTGGCCTTGAATGGGCTCCAGGGATGAGGCATCCACAACCTCCTTGGGCAACACAAGTGTGTCACCACCCTCTGTGTGAAAAGCCTAATATTAACCTAAATCTCCTGGCTTAGTTTAAAACCATTCCCCCTTGTCCTATCACCATCCACCCTTGTAAACAGACATAACCCCTCCTTTATACGCTCCCTTCAAATATGAGAGGGCCACAATGTCTCCCTGAAGCCATCTCATCTCCGAGCTTAACAAGCCCAGTTCCCTCAACCCTTCTTCACAGGAGACATGTTCCAGCCCTCTGAACATCCTAGTGGCCCTTCTCTGGACTTGTTCCAAGTGCTCCACTTCCTTCTTGTGCTGGGGGCCCCAGGCCTGGACACAGTACTCCAGATGGGACCTCAAAAGAGCTGAGTAGAAGGGAACAATCACCTCCCTCTCCCTGCTAACCACTCCTCTTTTAATGCAGCCCAGAACATAGTTGGCCTTCCGGGCTGCAAATGTACACTGCTGGCTCATGTCCAGCTTCTCTTTCTATCAATACAGACAAGAAGTACAGTTCTGGTGTTCAGAGACTCAATCAAACACTGGTTTAAGAAAGGCTTTCTTTAACAAACCAGTAAGTATTACCTGCCAAAATAAACACCTAACTTGATTAAGCCTATGTAAATGATTATTCTTATCAACAATTACAGCATTTTCTAAACTCAGCTGAAATTTTTCCCATTGTGGGGGAAAATAAGTTCATAAGAACCTCTCATTTTAAATTTTACTTATAGTAGAATAGAAGGCCTTTGAGGTAACTTCAAAGAACCATAGAATGCCTTGGGTTGGAAGGGATCTTGGAGTTCCTATCCTCCTGCCACGGGCATGAGTCATCTTCAATACCTGTAGGCATGAGGCACCCACAACTTCTTCGGCTAGCCTGTTCCAGTGCCTCACAACTCTGACAGTTTCCTTCTAACATCTAATCTAGATCTTCCTTCTTCTAGTTAAAAAATTAAAATTATTAGATTTATTATTAAATTTAAAAATTCTATCAGTCAGATGATGAAAACCAGACTCCCTTTGCTTTCTTACTAGCTGCAAGCTGGCAGATTCTTTTAACCTCCTACTGAAAACTATCACCAGACATTAGCTCTGTAAAAAAGTCAAACCATTAATTCATATTAACCTCTTTCTAAACTCAGTTTAACTTATGGACTTTAATAGGTTTGTTTCACTGTATTCAGCCATAGACTCAAAATACAACATTACAAAATTGCCATAAATTTTAGGAGGTGAAAGGGTTGTTTTAGATTGCTCAAAATTCAGCTCAGCTATGTTTAGCTCTCTTACCCTCCTGAAGTCCACTTAAAAGCATCTGGAAATCTGGGCAACTGCAGGAAGAACCCACTCTACTACCACATCAGTGGAATACAGACTTTCTTGCCAGTTTGCATGCTTGTGGACTGCAGCTGATTCACGATGATGCACAAGTATAGATTGTTTATCTTAGCTACTGTCTCTAAAAAACTCAACTCAGTATTAACAGTATTCTCTGCAAGACTACCTGATACCCAAAAGCTACAGTGCGAACAGCACATACCAGGATGGCTTATATTGTTTTCACTGACCCCACGGATGTATGTTTGTGTGCTGAAAACAGTTCAAGTAGCTAAATCACAAGAAAGCTGCCTAAGACAAACCTGCTGGGGATGGCTAATGATGCAGCCCACAAGCCCATGTGCTATATGAAATATACTGACACAATGTATGTACATACAACAAGCATCCAAGCATAAGATGGCAGATACATGCAAGAAACAGATATTTTAATTTTCTTCGTATGCAGTTGTTTGGGACATTCAAGCTCAGCTACTCTGTTTCATGAAGGGTTTGAGCATCTACTGATGGTAAATGAAGGAACATCCATTTTTCTGTCCAAGCCTGACAGTGGCTGTAGAGATCAATATCTTAAGAGTTACCAGGCTTTGTTTGCAGGAAGCCTAGACTGAGATCTTATTAGATCACAAAATACGAAGGAGTAGATTCTACCTGGCCTAAAACTATATTGGTTAGGTTGACTGTAATAGATATTCAAATATTAAGACATTGTACATTCTTTTCAGTATTAGTATACAATGAGCTGTAGGAATTTCACAATAGTATGTATATTTCTTCAGAGATGGGAAGGGATGCAGTTATGGTTTTGTATAGCTTGTCAATTCAGGGAAAAAGTACTTATTAATGTCACTAATAACTTATTTTAGTGTGAAATCTGACTGACTTATCTGAGAGAAGCATCAGCAAGACATTTCCTATGCTTATCAGGAGTTCTCAAGTGCTTACCAACAGCATGCAGAGTCCACCACTGCTGCTCTTAGCACAGCAGCTCAGAACACCAGCAAAAGCAAGCTACCCTCAGCCAAACAGATGTTGATTAGGACTGTTTTGTCTTTAGCCTTGAAGAAAGTAGCCAGGGACTCTAAGAGCAAAACAGTGATCTATCCCATTGAGTTATTGCACAACTTACCTGTATAGAATGTCATGTTGTTGGATTCCAGTTCAAAGATGCTTTTGGTCTGCACATCAAACCGAAGCCATAATCCAATTGCAAGAACTGCTGTTCCTGCAAGCTGTAAGAACAAGTAAATAAAAACAACTAATACATTCACCCTACCAACACCAGAATTAATCACAGGATTTGGTGCTGTTATTTAACAAGGTGGTGACAGAACCGCATGAAGACAGGGATACCAAAATAAGACTAAAGACAATTCCTGATGAGAGGCATCTTGTTGACAGTTCTGTTTGCATATTAAAGTACAACAAGAGAACAATGCCATGTTTTGTTTTGTTTTTTTTTTAATACTGAAAATACCTTAAGTTTACAGAAGTGTCATTGGAAAATCTGATATTTGACTACTCCACCCATGTTTTATTCCAGCTGACTAATGATACTGCATGGCTAACAAATCTTGCATACTCATTATGAAGGACATGCATAATGTAAAGAAAAGGCACTTTACTATTATAGGGCTAGGAAAAATTGTTAGCACATTAAACACTGATGATAGTTCAGTGTACCACAGTGCTGAGTTTAGAAAGAATGATCTCATTTGTAACACAAGAGCAAAGACACAACAAGTTATCGCACCAACAGACAGTAGAAAATAAAGGCTGCTAAAACAGCAACATTGCTGTGTGCTGATCCAGAAGAACATAGTTAAGCTTTAGGTAGCTTTGTGACATATCATTTTTGCCTGTATGCCTCAAGGCTCCTTTTGACATAGGGCTTGTATTAGTGGCATGCATGTACTTTTCAGGTTTTCTTTTATCTGAATAGCATTTAACTATCAGAAGAAAAGCTCAAAAGAAGGAATGTGATACATATACCAACACACAATACAGAAAAAAGTTTTATGAAGACCAATAAGCTTAAAGCTTAGCAAGTACAGAACTCCATTTAGGCTGAGCATGCATGAAAATAAAAAAAAGCCTTATCTTTGAGAAGTCCCTTCTAGAAGGCAACACATTCTTGAATTGCCTCCAAAAAATGGGGAGGTGTTTACTTTCAAGTGCCAACTTTAAGCAAGAATATGGAAAGAATTCCCACACAAAGCATGTGAACACACTCAGACACCAAGCCTAACCCTTGGCCCTATGTTCTCTCTAAAGAATGAGAACTTATTCTCTTAGAAGAATATTCATATTTACTGAAGGCGGGCATACCCTGGTTGCCTATAGCTATCTATTCTAACCTCCTAACCTTTATCAAGAAAAAAAAAGCTTTTAAGACTGGTATGGGATAAAGGATCAAGCTAAGAAAGAGTTCGATGGGAAGGTATCACCCTTGTAAATTCTCACCAGAAAACATCCTAACTGAAGTTTTCAAGGGCTCAGGTACCAGTGAGGAAAAGTGAGACAGGCAGCTCTCAGAGAAGCCAAATTTGCTGGAAAAAAAAAACCGGCACTATTTGTACAACAGACACATACCTGCCAAGCCTGCCTCTGAGAAGATCTACAGGGTTGAGGCTGGGAAAAAGATGAATTGATACATAATGTGCAGAACTAAACCCACACAAAGGTTTCCAAACCTATGCAAATGATATTTAGTGCCATGTGCATAGGTACAGGCTTAGTCATAATATGTAATAATACATAACATAGCAAGAACAAAGCCTGCACAGAGCCAGAGCCTCCCTTGTTAGAAGTATGCTGACAGAAAAACTAAATCGTACAATTGATGCAATAACTAAATGTAATAAGAGTGTGTCACCTCTACGTACTCTACAGATGCACCATCCCAAGGGAAGAGAAGCTGCCAAGGGGACTGCAGGGAGAGAAGTTCCTGCTCTATGTGGCACTCTGCCACAGCATTGCTTGGGAAAATCCTTAGCAATCTCAAACACCAGAAAGGCTTGGTGATAAAAAAAAAAACAAACCCTATACTTACAGATTACTTTCCAGTCACCAAACATTTAATTCCCTGATAGAACCCTGCTTTCTGGGGTCATTCAGTCTTCAGCTTTTATAGGTATCCAGTTCTGAAGTGTTAGGAGAAAAACCTGCTGCCTCTTCATGGCTTCTGAGAACTCATGAACTGCAGAGTTCAAGAGTGCCTGGCTCTGAGTAGCTATATATTTCTGCTGTTTGACAAGCTCCAGTGTTAGAGAGCTCAAGGACTGTGCTGCAAACAGAACAGGGCACAGTGAAGGTTTGCACAACTTAAACAACATCTATAATCCAGCAGATCTTTATTTGTGAAGAAAGTAAGAACACTGCATCAAGTAGATAATCTCGCAACTCTAAGCAAAGAGAAGTGTTCCGTTAATCCTTCAGAGAAAGAAACTGCTTGATTAATGTTAGAAAGTCTTAACATACTTGGTATGGATCATTTTGAAAAAGCTTAATACACACCCAAAGCACTATAAACAAAGTGCAGTGTGGTGTTTTCTCCTTTGGAATGTAGCTATCTTGAGAGAGAAAAATAACAAGATAATTACAGGTATCAGTGAACAGCTCAGTATCACTGAGAACTGCAGGATTAAAAGTGATCTCCCTCATCATGATATACACACAAAAGTGACGTTTTCCCCCATATTTCTTAAGGGAAGTGAACTTGTTTTTCCAGTTTGTGATCTTCCTATTCACAATGACTGAACTAAAAATGGAAATTTAAAAGTCAAAGGTTAAAAAAAAATTACTTTCATTAAAACAAGTTGAATAAGATACGGCACTAACTTGTGACTCAGAGGAAAAAAGCAGGTATTCCTGCACTGCACTCTTGCAGGCAGCAGCAACTGCTCAGACTCCACTTACCACTCGGCACTTAAGAAGCATTTCTGCTCCCTGGTGCTACTTCAGTAGCTGTCAAGTGGCTTCGGTAGTTCTATTTCTCCTCCCTGATAAAGGTATTCAAGCTCCACCACCCAGGATACCTGGAAGCAGAACTCTCCAATGGTAGATCATCTAAGAGGTGGTGGGTTGTTTTTTTTTTTAATGTTTTCTGAATTTAACAGGTGAATTTCTGCATTGTCATGTGAGTTCAGTAATTCCAGATATTTCTAAGTACAAATAACCTGTACTGAAATAGGAAATTTAACAGAGAGAATAGAACTCTCTCTTCCTGAAGCTAGCATTCTATGTTCACAAAATCTACAAAAATGAACTTGTTTGTGCTTATGAAAGATACTGTAGTAAAATATATTGGCAAGAGTATCTGGGAGACAGTTTCGCCAGCCTGAACTAAGTCTGTCATTAAAAGGGAAATTATTTACTTACGGTATTAGAAACAAGGTTGAAGCAGCAAAACTCCAGTAGTAAGTTCAAGCGTACTAAGTAATAAGTACAAGCATACTACCGACATTCCTGCAAGCTAACTAAGCTCCTCTTGTTTTCTATAACCACTAATAAGCATCTTAAGTTCCCAGCTTATTTCTTCTCAATTCATCTCTGTTCTATAGCGACAAAGGACAAGGATCCCTGATCATTCCACCTCTACTTTAATGGAGGCTTCTTGCTTGCATGTGATATCAAAAGTGGCATCTCGATTGCTCTAAACATTCTGCTCCTACATGCATCCTTCTGCGTGCTGGAAGAGAGGAAAAAAAAAGAGCAGCCTTTTGAGCCTTTTTCCACCCCCCTCCCTTTGCAGTTCTGCAGCTCCCACAGCACAGTCTCCCACTAAAACTTCTCTCAAGCCAGCCTATTACTAAGGGCTTATCTATCTATGGGTGTGACACAGCCTTGCATCTCCAAAACAATGCTTTTAGCCTTCAATGTCACAAGACATAACTGCTAAAGTATCTATGTCTGAATGATAGATATTTGCTCTGTATTTACGATAAGTAACAGCTGACCTATTCTGGAGGCAAAAGTGACAATACTTCTCCCCACCATAGTTGGGTTGGCTTCAGTATTGCCTTAGAGTTTAGCCACTGAGTGAAATTATCAAGCCACTTCCACTATGATTTCCCTCTCCCTCACAAAGCCATCTAAGGTTTCACAGTCCGCTAGTAGAAAGTTTTCAAAGGGAGTCATTAGACTTAATGACACTGGTGAGAAAACATCAGAAGTTACTATCTGAGCTGCTCAGGTTCGAAATTTTATTAATAGTAGTGTCAGAACATCATGACCCTATTTCAGGAAGCTGGAAAGCTTATTTTAGATTTAACTACTCTTTCTCAAAGATCATTTTGTTCAGTCCCTTCTGAACTCGTTATCCAGACCCACCTTGAAAAAGCACAACCCTGCAGCCACAGAACTGCATGTGCTATAGACATCTTCCAATAAACTGCCTTTTCATGCACAAAGCCTGCTTGAGGTCCAAAAGGTTAGCAAGTCTATATAGTTGGCTGATGCAGCTTAGATGGCAGACCCTTTCAAAGCACCTTTATAGAGAAAAAGCCTCTGTTACGCAATTTTAGTGCATTTAGGGCCAAAGCTATAGATAACTTCTATCAAGTACATGGCACTACCTTGAGCAGAAGGTAAACTAGTATGTGGAAATACAGTCAGTCAAAAAAAAAAGTTTTATATATAGATAGATAGATAGATATATCTATGTATCAAAGCTGCTTTCAGTGCTGTCTACTCAGCATTTCATCTAACAGAAGACTTTAAGTAAAGAAGTATGCCAGGTTCTATATGGCTGTTATGCTGGTTTTACATAGGGCAAGCCAACAGCACACTGCCAGTAATCTCTAAACAAACAACCACAAACAGGAAGTACAGGTGAGGCTCAACATAATTAATTAATTGCAACATTTGTGTTATCCACAACAGAACTTCTACTTCAAGATCTGAGGAAAAAAAAGAGAACACCCAAACCTTCCTAAAAGATGTGAAATGACTGCTAGCAGTTATATATGAAGCTACAGCTTCTAGACTCTGAGAGGGGAAAAAAATAGACTGGAAAGGAAATACTTCCATTCTGCTTAAGAAAGTTCTCAAGAAGGCTATGGGCTAAATTAAAGTCACAACAGATATTGCAATAAAATGGTACTCCAGTATAGCAGCAACAGCACTATAGAATTCCTGAGCCACAGCCAAGATCAGTGCCCATTTCACAGAAGTTCCTATTCAGAAGGAAGCCTACTGTACTTGTAACTTAAACTGTAAAAGGCAACATCCT